ATTTTATTTGTCTCAGTTTTAAAGCTTTGTAAATGGAAGAAAATCAAAATATTTGACGTATGATATTTTGAACAATTGACTTCTTTCTAAATATAGGCAGAAAATTATATACTTCGAAACTACCATATGTCTTAAGCATTTCTGATCATTCTGTTTGATAAACATTGAATTAGCACGTGATATAGTACTGGATGATATTGAATATTGGTCGTTCGTTTCATGCAACTCTTCAAAAACCTTTCAAATTTATTTACAGTATTCGTATATGTATTGGCAACTATAATGCATTCGAATGAAAATTTCATGGAGTATACTGTGTTAAACTTATAAATAGTAAATTGATAATTTGTATTTTATATTCACAAATAGGATAAAGAAGTTGTTAATTTTCTATTAACCACAATAAAATAATGTATAACTGTTACGTAGTAAGAAAAGTAACAAATATTCAACTGAAAATTATTTATAACACACAAATTGACATTATTCGGAAATCCAATAAGAAATACGAACCAACCGATAACTCTTTGATGTCGGTTTGGTGGAGTTCAATCCAACTAATAGTCAAAGAAAGACATAAAGGGTGATTTAACTACAAGGACATTATGTAATTTGTTATTGATAACCTGGTTCATACGCTTTAACGTCTACTATTCAATCAAATCATTTTATACCATAACAACTGATTTATTCATTAGACAATCATTTATTGTTAATTCGATCAAACTTTACAAGTTATTACTTACATAATCATGATTAATTACATGATTGATATGAATTTGAACAATTCGTTTATTTATGATTAACTTATAATCAAAAGAATAAACAACTATTGAGTGTTATGTGGTTTCTAATAAATTTCCAACTAATATCAATCTATATATATGCAAATCATCTTGGTAAAATATGAGTACCAAACAGTAAATACTTCATTTACAAATTTCTATCATTTGTCTTTCACATCCCTTTCTAATTTTGTTTTCTGTTTTCTTCAAGTTGATTTTCATAGCATTCTGCTGACAGATATCCCACTTCCAATCGGTGTTACATACTACTTATGTCTGTCGATATAAGTAGCACACACCATATATATATATATATATATATATATATATATATATATATATATATATATATATATATATATATATATATATATATATATATAGGGAGTAATTCAATATTTGTTCATACATTATGTCACGTTGATTAAATGACAAATATCACACCCCTTAAAAACAATGACATTTCTCATATAATGTACACTTAATATTGATTAGGTCAATTCAACTATTCATTACATTCACTTGAATTCTTATCTTTATTCCTTCATTCATTACGATCATGAATATAACCATATAAATTCATAATTAATTTTCAATCGATAAATTGTTGTGTCATTCTGTTTTTCGCAATAATCTAAACGTTGTATCAAAATTGTTTATTGTAACAACTAGTAATTTTTTTATTATTTTTTCTTGAAAAAAAACGAAAACGTAATTATACAGTTTTTCTGTTCACAACTTATATGTAAGTGTTTGCAACGACAATATTAAAATGAATGGATAAATATAAATGATCAATATGCTGACAATAACAAAATAATACACACATACACACACAAGGGGAATGAGTAAGTAGAATATATTATATATCCAGGTGACACAGTCGTTACAGTACGTTCACACTCCTAGAAAAAATAACAAACAGACTAACAAAACACGTTATTATATGAATCCGAAAAAAAATTAGATTAAATTCTGTTTTTATCAACAAAAAAAAAGAAAAACAATAAAGATTAACAATACATCAAAAAGAATAATTTCGTTTATAAAACCCAATTTTAAAAAAACTTGAATTTTTCAATTCAAATAACTTTTAAGAAGGGAAAAAAAGCAACAAACGGTTACATAAGATGATATGTTATTGTTATTATTTGTGACGAAAGAGTAATTGAAATTTCCAGTGAATTTTAATATTACACTAAATTTTTTTACATTTTTTTATCTTAAAAAAGAAAAAAAGTGAATGAACAACGACAAAATATATAAAACCATTTACAAATGCTCTATAGATATCTGTTATTAAAAGAGATAATGATTGTATAAGATTGTTGTTGTTGTTTTTTGTTTTTTTCTGTTCTTGTTATGAATTAATAATATGCATAGAAGTATGTTTTAAGAACAAATTTTTTTAAAAAAAAGTGAAAAAAGAATTTTGGAGAAAATTAAAGGTTTCGTAGAAAAAATGTAAAATATAATTTACTTTATATGAGAAAAAATACATACGGAAATATTTTATTGATTATTATTAATATTAGAAAAAAACATGTAAGTTAACTGGCCTGGGAAAAATCAAGGTTTTTCAAGTGAACCAAAGTGTTAAATAATAATAATAGCTTTGATTAATAACTATAAACAGGTGTACATATTTTGAATAAATCTTCACACATGTACGCGCAGTCATTTAGGCATACTCACATACACATGGAGAGAGAAACAATAAATTTTCAACTGAAATGAATGAAGTTTTTTGTTGAAAATGAGTGAGATTATGGTTCTATAAAAAACAAAGGTGGTAGAATAAGAAAAAAACAATACCACCTTGTTGCTTTTATATGAGAAACTGTTTTATATGGAGTAGGTGAGAGTAAAATTTTGCTGATGATTGATTATTGGATGTGACATTTTATTTGCTTCATAGAACATGATCGTTCTCTGTTAGAATGTCACGGTCTGTATCCGATTTAGCCTAAAAAAAACAGACACAAAAGAGTAAATAATTTTATAAATAGTTATCCCAATATTGACTGAACAAAGAAAAGAAACAATATTTGAAGTAAAACACCGGAATTTGAATGAACTTAAAGAAAATAACTTCGATTGACTACTACCAGTATTCTACTCATATTGTATAACACAAAAAAACGTAAAATGTTACTTGAACTAACTATTTAATCAATATTTATTTTATTCCGAAACCAGATATTCATTTAATTGTATTGATAATGCTTGTACATATCGGTCAGTGGATCCAAATATTTAGGATAATTGTCTGTATGGGGTTGTGGAGATTATTTGTTTTCTTTTAAGTCGAAAACCAATCTAAGCTAGATGATTTCTGAAAACCTGGAAGCACTGGATGGTCGTTCTGTTCTAGCATGAGAACCCTTATGACCCCACAAACAGAAATTGAACTTGAAGCTTCCGGTATCACACGGAAGCCCTTAACCTCTAAAATATTGAGCCAGTATCCAATCATGTATAAGCCTAACTTCAATCCATTCATAGCAAAGCGCAACCATTTTCCATTGTCTTCGGTGAGTATCCTTCTTACATCCGAAGTGGTTTAGCGCCACTGGTCAGTGCTTCTCCTACGAACGCCAGGAATGTCCTCCCATAGCTAATTACTGGTGAACATATGATAACTGCCAGTATGAAGTTATGGGTTCGATTCCTGAATCAATGTTCACAAATGTACACTGTTGTGGAGTCGTACACTAGAACGGAATAGCCTGTCAGTGATTCCAGATTTTCAGAAGTTGTCTAAATTTGATCGGTTAGTGGTTTTAATGGTATTTAAGAGAAACTTTAAAAACAGCTTACAACTTGTTCGTCTGCTTATTCAATTAATTTCAAACCACTTTAAAATGAGACTTAACGTAATAGATGGTGTAATGTACTATCAACAGTTGTCTAAAGAAATAAATATAAATGACTAAATCTAAAAGAATTAGGGTCCAAATGTATTTATTAACTTAGATATTCATTTAACTTTGATCAGTGATACAATTTCCAATTGAAATCAACTATTGGTTTATAATATTAGTTTCACTGACTTATACAAGATGATTTTATTAAAATAATTGTATTACGTAAGAATAATAAACAATAATGTTGAAATGTCTTCAAAATTAAAAAATATTCTATCACTAAGTAATATAAATAAGAATTTGCCATGATAAATTTGATGGATATGAATATATTTTATTATAAAAATTGATATCTTTTATGTTTGGTCCTTGAACATATGACATGGATTTTACGGTCGCTTCCTAGATCCTCTGGGAATCTCCTAAACTTGAACTCCGTACAAGTGAAAGAAGGTGGAAAGTATGAAGAGAAGGATTACTTTCAAGGTGTTTATGTAAATAAAAGCAAATGTATTTATACGTCTACATGTGATCTATATATTTTACAAATTTCTAAAAACGTGTTAAAACTAATAACAATATTGCTAGTTATCCAACCAGGATATAAAACAATCAGTCATTTTCTAGTATTTTTTAGGATGTTTATATTGAACACTGATCGAACAAAAAATTCGCAGCATTATTCAGCGTCTAGAGATTTTTCGACTAATGTTGAAAAACTCCCAAACAGTATCGATTAGGACCTAGTAGAATATACCTATGATTCCACGCGCATGATCAAACCTGGAACTTATAAGTATTTCGATGAGAGTTTATCGTTGTGCAATTCACAATTTCAAAGATTCAAACAATTGAAGTCTGATTTAGGCCTAGTGTTGGACAAAAGAGGTGGCCAATTCAGAATGTGATCCAGCGGAAAATGATAGGTGAACTGTAATTAGGAGCTCGAGGTCTTTTTTGGAATCTTAGCTTGTGTTAGTTCATAATCTAAACTAAATCCAAAATAATATAGACCAAAAACGGAATAATTCAAATCTGTAGAGGTTTTTTCATAAAATAACGCCCAAAAAACCCAGTTATATCAAATATCGTTTGCTTTTATTCTAAACTCATTGAATCTACGTATAGAGTTTTTGATTCTTTGTTCATTCTCTCTCTCTCCTTGTCATATATGAACATCGCCGTTGAATAGTTGAGTAGTTAGGATTAATAAGAGTAGTTAGTTAGTAAACATGTCCACATTTATTTTTAAACTTGTAACCTAAAAATAACCTCATTTTACCTTAAATTGTTTTTAAGTTTTTATTTATCTGTAACATAAAAGTTCTATTTATTTATTTATTTTTTAAACACACAGCATACCAGCATTTGATTAATAGCAACTCTGAGATTAATGCCCAAACCATTTATTACAAAAATAATCTAAGACCTTAACGACAGTGTACACATTTTGAATTAGATTAGAAATTTCCAATCATCACTAATAAAATTACTGTACTGATATCAATTTTCTGAATTATTTAAAGTTTTCAATCGATTTAAGGTTTAGATTGATATCATGAATGGATCCCTTTCGTTTTCTGTTATTTCCTAATTTCTATTGCGTTTACATTAATGTATACTCATAGACAATTAAATATTTGTCAGTCATGTTAATTAACTTGAGAAAAACAAACTGAAATAAGCCAATAAACAATAATGAACACTAATGATATGAGGCAATCTTTATTGATTGATTCGTTAATTAAAAATATACAATTAGCGTTTTGTTTACTCTATAAGTCGGATATTTTAATGGTCACTATTAACCTAAGATTTATAACAATAATAATAATAAAATGAGTTATTTAGGTGGATACATGCTGTTTGTATGCATATACTTTATATAAGTAGATTTTGAACCCCCCCTTTATATTTCAAAAGAAATTTTTTTTAAAAAAGACCATAAATCACCACTAATTCGTCTTTTATTTAATCAATTTTTCTTTTCGATTTTATATCTCCTTTTCGTCTACTCACACTATTCATATATTTATTCATTTACATTATTCTAGCAATTTTATGTTCTAATTTCACCTTAATGCTAATCAGATCAGGGATTAAAGACAAAATGAAAGAGTCAATGGATTAAATGACACTATTTAAAATGGTACATTGAATGCTTTATTTTCTATCTTTGTATTTGTGTATCTAAATTAAATATACTAAATACTTTCCTTCTTTTAAACTATTCAAACTGATAAAAATGAAATCAAAAAAGATATATATATTTTTTTATGTTAAGATTTAAAACTGTATTGTTTAAATGTATTGCATTTCTTTTAATGCCTTTTATCTCTAAATTATAAATAAAATAGATCTTAATTTTATGCAGAATAAAATGAAACCAATACTATCTTATAGAAAGAAAAAGAAAGAGAAAAACACATAGAGACAGAGGTTAGTTTAAACCTAAAATAAATCGAATTCTTGCTTTAAATTGAGAAAAGAATGATGTGACTACAATAGACAGTAGTATAAACATAGATTTCAGTTCATTTAAGATATAGTTTAAATTCATCCTTTCTATTGTAAATAACAACGTTTAATAGATTCTAGTTAACAGTGGACTTATACATTGATGAAACTACTAACTATTAATAGTAAAACTTATATATACAAATTAACTAGAGTATTCATGTTAGTTGATACCGGTTATTGTATGATTTACGATGTAACAATTATAACATCTATAATAAGATTTAATAAGGATGCAACGATTAAATTTACTGTAATAAAGAAAAGCCTTTTCTTTTTTGGTGCATTAATTTCTATTACAACTTTGAAACATAAATTTAATCTGAAGATCGTTTCCATCATAAACTAATGTCAGTTGAAGAATCACCGACAATCAAGAAGCTTGGAGGCGAAGGATTGGCTTATCAACGCTATAAACATACATGACCTTACATAAGATCAAACCTCGTAGTTTTAGGTCGTAAGGTAATTTAATAAACATTTTAAACCAGGACAATTAAACGTCTTGCACCTTTGATTTTTAAATTGTTCGCCAGTTTATGCTGAAAAATAACTTTGAATTGCATCAAAATCTTTTATGTATATATATGTATACCCCAAAAATAATCTCACTTTGTAGATAATCGGTGGAAGATTCACTTTAGGCAATCCCTTAAATCCCATTTGTGTAAAATGATCATTTTTCAAAAATTCATTTGGTTCTAATACAATTCCAGTTGAATCAGCATAACTTGGAGGTGATTTAATTCGTGTTTTATTATAACTGTCATTATTATTATTACTGTTATTATTATTATTCACTGTAGTGTAATATATACTTCCTCCTTTATCCATATCACCGTCACCTTCCAATGCACAACTAGTTACTTGATTTTTCCCCGATGTACTTTGAACAAGTTTCATGTATTTATATTCTAGTCTAAAAAAACAAATCAACACAAAATCGTAATCAAAAAGAAAGAATATTTTTTATTTAAATGTTAATAACAATAGCATCCCCCCCCATAATTTACGAACTATATCAGCATTTATAGATAACAGAAATAATGAGTAAACAGGTAAACTGTCTTTAATCATTGGATAGGATGTGACAGTTCATAATACGACTAAACATACTTATTTATAGTTAACAAATGAATTGTATCAGTAAATTTTGATTGGGCTAACGCGTCACAATAGTAACTAACACATAATTCATCGGCCTCCTTCAGTTTATAGATGCCTCTTGCTAACAACTGTCAAAATCCCTAAATACCTTCCAACCGCTTATTTATAACCGTTTAACATAGAAAATAAATTTCAGTACGATGTCAAATTATTTTGATTATTTGACAAGTTATTAGTTTATTTATAACACACACACCAGACCATGATAAGAATACAACACAAAATTGGAATTTTTGATTTTGCTAATTATTATGAAAGAGGATTTTCGAATAGGCAGATTCATTTTACAGTTACCAACAATTTGATAAGAAACTAAAACAGGTTCTTTCATGATTCACAAAGGTAGATGGTGGCTAGTAGTGGAATCCACGACGCACGTTTCATTCTATTTGGAACTCATCAGATGGATGGACATGCATACAAATAACAGTCTGGTCAATTGCAATCTTAAACATCAATGGAAAGATTCAAACAAACAAACAATACAAAAACGAATTTAAACTTCACTCTATTACACAAGTTGGTGGTTATCGGGACTCAGTAGCTAAGTGGATAACGTGATGGCGTTTGAAGCGAACGTCGTTGGGTTCGAGTTTCGGAGTGAACGTTAACTATGGGATGGAGGTAAATCGAGCTGACGAGTTCCGAATAGGACGAGACGCATGTCCTGGATTTCACTGCCAGTCATCGTCCATCTTCGCTTAGAATGCCTGTGACCCAAGGCAGTATCGAGGCGATCTGTACAGAATGCACATATGCCAATAAGAAACTGATCAATTGCGGTCGTGAACATCAATGGGATGATTCAAACGCACAATAAAAAAATGAATTAGGTTCTTTTACGATTTTTGTCTTGAGACATGTGTGGCAACTTCTAAAGCCAGTAGGTTCTATGATCTCTAAGATCTCGATAAGACTCCAGTCCTGTACAGAGATCTGTGTCATATAATATAGTAACTATATGCCTGGTTTTCTACCCAGTCCCATTTTGAATGAATAATGTTCAACGTTGAAGCTCCTGCAGTGAACATCACAAAACATATCCAGGTCACTAAAAATAGTGTTTCGAGATCATGGTGCTAACTGAATGATAGTTACCTCGAACACACTGTAACTGACCAAGATATTGCCTACACTGTATCGCCACCTGATGCGATCTTTAAAAAATGATGATAATCATGCACTGGGTAACAGAAAATCCCTAGAAACAGTCTATATACAAATTATGTCAGTGGCTTTCTTATGAAGGTACGAAGAACCGACGCGTCATAATACACTTATGGACATTTGTTTCTAACTAACAAATCAGATTTAGAAGTGTTATATTCAAGGTTTATTGACTTCGTTCTCACCCTATGTCAAGCGTGTGTTTGAATTAGGAAAGAGTCGCAGACATCAACTAAAGAGATAGTCAGTATGTCTTACTTTTTTAATGGGTCTTCAACTACGAATAGTCCATCATAAACATTAGCTTAAATGTGAAAAATACGCGTACACATATGGCCATTCAAATGCATGCAACTTACTTTTTATTTCGACGATGACACATGAAGATGATTAATCCTAAAATAATTAAAATTATCACAGTCAATAGAACGGCGGCTGTTTGAGATTTAGACAGAAGTGGACAACTTTCAATGAGGGTAAGATTTCTGTCCAGTGGAACACGACATTCCCTGATATAAAATAAAATGAAGGAGTGAAAGATTAGTTTTTCCTGACAGGTTAAATGTAATCCTCTTTATATACTCAACAGTGTTATAAAATAAAAAACTACTGTTCATTACTTTGTAATAAAGTATATATCAAAAAATCGCTTTCTTTGTGAATAATGCAGCAAACAGAAAGGCCACCATTCATCTCAACCATTTAAACTTTTAACTAGTAAAGTTAGCAAGTCGTGAATAGTTAATGACTGAACCATTATACATTAGGTAATGACTTTAGTTGGCTCATGAAACTGATGAATATTATAACCTTGTGAGTCCTGAATTCCACTGCTAACTGCAAACCAAATACACAAGATAAGATTATATCGGAACGACTTATTCAAGATTCTCGTTTGGCTACAGTAGTTGATGAATTACATTCTTAAATATCAACAACCGGAAATTACAAAATCCTTACTAGTTATTTCATATCCGTTTAACAAATTAGTGGCTATTTGGAACCATTGGTTGAGTGAATAACGTCATTGACGTTCTTAGTCATGTCTTGAATAGGATAGTAACTCGCCGATAAAATCCAATGACACTTAACAGTAACCGTTTCTTTTTTAAATCTTACAAAATCATCATGTTTCCAACTTAATTTGTAAATTAGACATAATTTGGAAGTCACAAGTTAATGGCTATTTATAAGTCTCAATGAAAAATGGTTGAGTAAGACAAAAGACATATTTAACTAGCGACAAAAATTGGATCATCTCAAGTACTCTTATACTACACAACTACTCATTCTATTTTTCTTGAAGCAGTAATACTAAATTTAGCAATGCAGGATGCTTCAGACAATATTTAAATGAGTATTAACATTTAACACCTTAAAGATATATACCTGAAGTACACACTACACACGGATACAGCAATTTATGATTCAATAATCAAAATGATTATTTATAACTGAATATAGCTTAATTAGATACCTACATTTTGACCGTATGGTTACATAAATGGCACAATCCTGATGGATGTATTATTTTTTTTGGTCCAACGAATTAGCTCAAGCAATTTAGAAAATCTTCATATTAGTTTCATGTTAGTAATATATATAATGTTATATTTCGCAAATAACATTTTTTTCAATGTCAGGCCAGTTAGTTTGTTTTGATACTCCAAATGGCAGTCATTTTTGTTGTAAATCTATGTTGTTTAAAGCAATAGGTTGTCATGCAAACCGACTTGATCAAATAAATTTATCTAACGCCTATGTAAAATAACACAATTGGCAATTCACCAAGTTGTTAAAATATACTTATTTATTGTCTAACTTTCTTTACTTCACTAATCCGTATTTCCTTCTCTTCGAATAGTATCTTTAGTGTCTAATTTTTTCTATCACCATATATACTGTTACTACCACTACTACTCTAGAATTCGCCATGATAATTTCTTGTTGGTGTGCTAATGGAGCGTAACAACTTGAACCAATGTACAAATGCATTAGGTTTTACATTGTATATAACTAATTAACTAACAGAGTGGTAAAAATGGTATTTTTATAATTCTCATATTTTAATTAAACTTACCATGGAGGACGGAGATGAACCTGTCTACGACCATAACTACACTCACCAAGAATTTTTTCATAATCATTTTCTTGACACATACGACAAGCATACATTGAAGTCCATAGAAAATGATAAGTACATCCATCACAAGTACCATCTGGACACAATGGTGGTAATTCAATTTTACCAGTTATATATTCGCTGAAATCTTTTATTTGATACATGAATGTTTCAAAATTCTGAGTAAATACACATCGTAATGTAATGACTGTAGTTCGTCCATGTGGACAATTGGAACTATGACTTAAAGCAAATAAAAAGAATTTATTTTAGAAAAGTGTCATTACCTGATAATTCTATTTATTATTATTTTTTTGTTATGTAAATAATTACTTTCAACTAAGTATAAAATATATACACAGTATATGCGTATATGCATTGTTTTGTTATCAGGGAAATTCTATTACCTGGATACATATTTTTAGTAATCCAATAGGAATAGCATGTTATATTGTACAGTTAAATTAACATAAATCATAGAACATCACTACTCTCAATCATTATTGTTATATTCTGACAATTAAAAATTCATAAGTAATTAGTTTTACGGGAGAGAAATGCTGATTGCGACAATATGAACAGTGAAATAGAAGCACTTCTAACTAAATAGACTCAATCAGAACAGAATGCACATTATTGATTTTGCTGCTAGTTATCGCTAAGAAAAGAATGTTTATTTCAAGATTTGTTTCTTGTTTGGTGTAAATATAAGTGATTGGCTTTAGGTAGAGAGTCAAAATAATGACCAGAAATTTGAAACTGGCCACGTTTTGTACAATAAGAAAAGTATTATGCTGCTGTGTTGCCTATCATTTGTTTAAACAAACCCCTATTATTCACTCCTTAATGAGTAATAAATAGTATCGAAAGGAAACGACCTGAAAAATATTGTTATTGGCAACTGGTCAATACTTTCTACACACTTTAATCAGTTTATATTCAAAGATATATTCAACTCAATGTTTTCCGGAAATTAGTTCGTTGCTTTAAGATGCATTTTACCACAAAATATCATTTCAGCCAAAGGACAGTTGATGAGCTTGAAACATTATAAAGTTGAGAAGCTATTGCAGACATTATAATCAAAGACGAATGGTGACTAGTAGTAAAATCCAGGACACGCGTCTCGTCCTATTCGGAACTCGTCAGCTCGATTTACCTCCATCCCATAGTTAACGTTCACTCCGAAACTCGAACCCAACGACGTTCGCTTCAAACGCCATCACGTTATCCACTTAGCTACTGAGTCCCGATAACCACCAACTTGTGTAATAGAGTGAAGTTTAAATTCGTTTTTGTATTGTTTGTTTGTTTGAATCTTTCCATTGATGTTTAAGATTGCAATTGACCAGACTGTTATTTGTATGCATGTCCATCCATCTGATGAGTTCCAAATAGAATGAAACGTGCGTCGTGGATTCCACTACTACCCACCATCTTCGCTTATAAAATTATTTAACTTTATTACCATAATAAATACAAACGTTTTAATCGTATTGGTGAGTAGGTGGATGAGATAGAAAAACTCTGTCCACTCCTCATTATCCTTCATATTCTTTTGGCCAAATAAATAAAAATTTTATTGACTCACATAAAACTGAAATTTTAACGCTAAATTTTTTATTTGACAAGCAATTTGCTTAATTCAGATTTTCAATGTTGTTAGACGGTAACAAAGAAATAAATAGATAATTTATAGATGAGTTGTGTCTCTTAGTTAAGTTAGTTAAATTATTGATTTTGCAAATTCTATACGTACATTAGATTATTGATTAACTTTTAATTGAATTCATTCAAATTTATTTATTGACTATAACATTTAAACTAATGTTTAATTTGTTCCTCTGGATATCGTTTAATTAGTGGCTCATGAATAATTCAATCCATTTCTACAGTCTTCTTTTCTATCTTGTATCGGGATAGCAGTCTCTTATTGTTGCATTAACTAGCAAGTACTAGGTATTAAGTAATCAAAGTAAACATTGTACCTTTAGCAGTAATCAACATTTAATTCAAGTTACAACATTGACATATCGATTTCACTTTGATTCGTTACAGTAGTTAATGAAGCCTTTGAATTAAATATTAGTCAACTAATAAATAAACTCAAACTCATCCCCCAAATGCTCTGGTATGGCAGTTAGTGGGGTGGGCCCGCCCCCCCTCCAAATGCTCTCACACGGCCACGCGTATACAGCCTCTGCCAGGGAAGTCCTACTCACTGCCTCCTCGTGTCGGGGGTGTTGTTTATGAAAATGAGAGGACGAAAAGCGAATGTCCGGCGCTTTACCGGATCCCAAACCAATGGTGCACATGGGCTCCAGTATCCTCCGGGAACAAATGGCGTATGAACCAATCGTTGGCCACCAGCTAACATTGGACTGCATCTCCCTACGATGCTCCACCGCCTTTTGGATCAGATCTTTAGGTCAAAGGCTCCGGGTGTGGCCACCTAATATAGCCACCTGCTTCGGTTCGGGCACCCGGGCAGTACCACAGCCCTCACACATATCAAATGAGATCTGTGTGGCGCGCATGTATTTGGTACCTGCTTGTACCAATATCTATGTGTTAAAATAAATAAAGAATAGAATTACAAAACAACGGATCATTGATTTTGATTACTAAATAAAACATATCATGATGTTATTCTTATGTAGCATTCAGTTTTTTTTTAAAAAAAGATTGAAATAGTTGAATATTTCAAAAATTTTAATAAAATCCAACTTTGTTAAAACTTACTCATCAGAAGCAAAGATATAATGTAAATCATTACCGAATTCTATAAGAAGGTAAATAAAAAACAAAACAAAAGACTTTAGATAAATCATATTTTGTCGAATGAAAGGAAATATGACAATTAAAAGAAAAAAGAAGAAGAAATTGAAACAATTCCATTAAGTTGATTAAAATAAAATGAATACATAACAAAATATAAAAACAAAAAACCCATCTAAATAGTCAATAAAATTCACGATAAATGATGAATATATTTCCAAGAAGAAATAATAAAAGGAAAAAAAAGAGAAAAAAATTACCTTATAAAATATGCAAATGTAATTTTAATTGTCTATAGGAATTCACTCTTGAGAATTAATTATGTACATAAATAACTAGTCTGTTGATTGTACTTTTACTTGTCTAAATATTACATATGTGATCACTTAGTATTGTCTTTTTTCAGTGTGCGTGTGTATGAATATATGTATGTGATAGAGCAGATAGGTATTGAATGAATTTTTCATACTATGATAGTGATTAAAGTGGATAAAACATACAACTTATCCGGTTAATTAAGAAGTTGATCAGTTACAATGTAATATGCAGTAATAACGTTTAGATATTTAATGGACATTAGTAATAAATGAAAATTTTAAAATCTTAGATATATCTTCTATTCGTCATTTTATATTCTGATTTCAATGATTTAACATAGAGTAAATTTTAAAAATTTCTGTACAGAATATATGATTCTGAAGTGTATAAAAATAATGTACAGTGATTTTGAGTGCTGTTTGATGTATGAGGACAGTTATCACTTCCCCGTTGTCCAAACCAAGGAAGGGTTCTTCTAGAGGTGCCTGAAGAGAGAATTTGGTTAGGTGTGGTCTTAGTGATCTGAGAGCATGATCACAGTACTCAAGGGACAAATGCTTGAGGTCGGTCACACACGACCTTCGTGTGAGCTTCTTAATTGTTGGGACCTTAACGGAAATTCGTGGGATAAGGTGACGTGTGTATTTTGAGGGTCGACCTTCTTTAACCCCACCCCTCCCTGTGGGGAGGCAGCATCGCTGTTATTCTGGTTGTCTGGATGGAACACCTTACTGCCGTCACACCTCTGTACAGTCAGCAGTACGACTTCGCCCTTGGACCTTGGATTTACTGCCTTTAGTTTTACCGCTCACCAACCGACCTGTCTAGCGTCTTAGGACCTTAAAGAACGATTGTTTCAGCCAGTATAGCTCGACTGATTCATTACGATAGGCAAGCCCGACCACCAAGTGATGATTAGTGATATTGATATATAATGGTTTACACCATAATAGTATATGAACCTAGATTCAATGTACAAACCAGTTATTCATACTGTTGTATGCTTAAAGCGTGAATACAGAATCTAACATTTATCAATACGACCAACAAGCGTTTTAAAGAGTGACACAGACAACATCTATTTTACTAGAATAATTAATTCCGGAAAGTTGGTAAAATGATTTCAATTTTGATAAGTTCTCTGTATAACCAATTAGATTTAAAAACAACCTAAACATATACAGTTAAAATTCAGTAAAATTTATGAATAGCATTAGTTGGTTACAGTTACGACATGAATTAGCACTCGTTTACAATTCATAATAAATTCTGCATACAAATTCGATCATTTTATTAGTACTCAGTTTAAAAGGGTAATTACACTTACTGTCTTCCATCCAACCTGCTTTTGTTAAATTCTTGTTTACTTCTTGCCAAAAGTCTAGTGTCACATTACTGGGCACCATACGAATAAGGCGATCAGCTAGTCTAAAATTATCATAATAACGAAATGATTATAAATTTTAAGATAGGACAATAAAATAGGCCGACGTCATAAAATATTGTTTGGATGTATGAATACAACAATATGTCTGACAATTTTATGGATAATCATGACTCCGCTAAACGTGTCACTAACCCTTTCAATGTCATTGGCTAAAATATTTCCATTAGTTAAAACATTAATAATTTGCTTCTCTTAGCTAACCTTTTTTAAAATGTCATAATAATGGGAGAGTTTATTTAAAGTAGTAGAAAAAATATAAATAATTCCTAATATAGTTTTTTTTAGAGTCTACCATCAAGTAGCTTTTAACCTCAGACAAAATCAGCCAAATTCATTTCACTGTTGCAAAGTGACTCGTTATCAAAAAATTCTCTCAGAATCCACATTTACTAACAAATACTTATCAACTGCAGTCCTATATTACTAACAATTGGACATATTTGCTAATACATTCACACCTACTAAACTAATCAGTGGCTATCTAGAACCACTGTATGGATGAATAAAAAATTGGACGCACTGAATCTTAAACGGAGTGTAAACATAAGCACTAAGATATAGGTACATTTAGTTAACTAGCTTCAAGTAGAATGAAGTGCTCACTCGGTATTCCATTGCTAGTTATATACAGAATATATATATATATATATATATATATATATATCACCAATTTTGTTAAACTTAAGGTCGAGAGGAATCTAAATGAAATTTTCATAAAAATATATACAATTCTGAAATTTAACTCATGCAGAAATTTATTAAATTATCAGGTCACCAAACATTATACATAAAAAACAATATGTAGTTATTAATTACATACCTTGTTGGTTTTGAGTATGTTTTTGTACGCCTGTGATTGGACGCCTCAAATCTCGTATGTCGACAAATTGAAGCATTCACAGTGTGTTGATCCTTTGATAGAAACAAAGAGAATACAATGTTAAATTTACACCAGTAAAACTAAGGATAATTCTTATTATACTGATAAAATGACAAACTAAAAAGTCGTTTCGTTACTTTACTACTTACAAGTAATAAGATAATTAATGTAACAGTTTACAGCTAAAAATATCTTTATCACCTACCACGAAAAATGACTACTCGTGATAATCAATTAGAACATCACGTCTAGACGGCATTTATTGTAGAAAATCAGTATTTTAAGTATTTAAATTAACAAAACATAATAATATTGAGTTTAACAGTTTTATTTTAGGTATTCATAGGAAGTGATCTGAGAGCATGATCACAGTACTCAAGGGACAAATGCTTGAGGTCGGTCACACACGACCTTCGTGTGAGCTTCTTAATTGTTGGGACCTTAACGGAAATTCGTGGGATAAGGTGACGTGTGTATTTTGAGGGTCGACCTTCTCTAACCCCACCCCTCCCTGTGGGGAGGCAGCATCGCTGTTATTCTGGTTGTCTGGATGGAACACCTTACTGCCGTCACACCTCTGTACAGTCAGCAGTACGACTTCGCCCTTGGACCTTGGATTTACTGCCTTTAGTTTTACCGCTCACCAACCGACCTGTCTAGCGTCTTAGGACCTTAAAGAACGATTGTTTCAGCCAGTATAGCTCGACTGATTCATTACGATAGCCAAGCCTGACCACCAATACAAGGTAGCAATGAAGTAACTACTTCTTTGAATTCGTTGTTCACAATCTTGAGCTAATGAGGAGTGGCTACTTGTACTGGCGCATATATGTGCCTGATCCTACGTTGTAGCTGACTGACTAACTGGCACTTAATTTTCTAATTATAGGGGATTTATCAAACAAAAACTATTGTGTTGAGATCGTATAATTCATTTGTACAATTAAATGGTTCATAAATTAAAATCGTAAGATCTATTTTGATCACTCGTTCAATCATTTGCATGTTTTTCATTATATACTAGTTATGATGAACATGGCAGTAATGAACGTGTTTGACACTGTTTGAAGGTTAACATTTTTGCATGTAATCTTATTTGTTCTATAAATTATTTACAATGAAACTATTGAATTTTATTAATATTAAATACAAAAGTTATTTTCCATCACTAAGTGACATCAATTTTAGAAACAATCTAAAATATTGACCACTGAAGTATCGTAATTTCTTCTTTTTTAAACTTCTAACCAACAATAATAATAACAAATAAATACAAAATCACACAGAAGAACTTTGGTTCTAGTGATCAGTATGATGTTCTGATGTGCTTATCACTAATTCGTAAGCTTATATTTTTAAAAATAGTTATTTTTGTCGTTTGGTATCACGATACTCATTCGATGTTTAAACTTTGATTTGAATGCCTTCTAATTTAATGAAAACCTTTTGTCTACCAGCGTCAGGTGTAAGTTCTAATGAGATCACGACAAATGGAGTCAATCAAATTAATGCTAAGACATTTAATTGTAATGACGTTACGTAAGGATTCTGTAACATAAACGTGTGAGAAAGTTGTTTTTTGCGAGAGATTTCATCAGTGAATCGTTTTTTTATTTTATGACCGTTTTTCACAAACTAGACAACTGTTAATGTATAATTTTGCTAACGCTCTTACAATATTCTACATCTAATTTTCAGATATTTTCGTGCTACTCAAAATTATCAAGTAGTAAAATTAGTGTATCAAATATTTTCAATATCATGAACCGACCTAAAAAAATTCATTAAAACCCAAGAAGAACTAGTATGAGAACCTTTTATGATCCCACCAATATCAAGCTCAAGACCTTCGGTCCAAATAAATACTTTCATAGCAAGTTAAACAATGACTTCCGCTTTTGAAACAACTTATTTAAAACAATAAGTTCAAAGTTTCATTAGGCATAGAGGTATCAACAATTACTGACTTGATGAATTTTATAGTTCATCTTTAAAAGTTGAAGTCCGATCTTGTTAAGTAATAAATACGATGTCATTGTCGAATTTTACACATGTATATTTGTGCAACAGAACATATAAATGTGAATTACGGAGTAACAAACAAATTTAAAAGTAAGTTTCAAAAATAACGGTTCCTAATTACGGAACCTCCCAAATTTATTGAACAATGTACACACCCAAAATATTCTAATGTCTATATATAAATATCAAAAAAATTAAACTGATAGAAAAAATGGAATGCACGTTGGACCTAAAGTGTAACAAGAAAATAATTAAATCCTTGTTAACATTGAATCCAAATAGGGAAACCATTAGTCTAACGCCATATTCAAGACCACGCAAGCATTCCATAGATACCTCTTCTCCTCCCCCTCCCCCGACTTATTATATTATAAGCTAAAGTCATATAAAAACAAGGCGGAACTTTTGATTGTTTATCTGATATTTTTTTAATCGAGACATTGATTCACGACTCGACGTTAACCTCGTATACACACATCTGTTTTACAAGGTTATATGTTATGATCTGTATAGATTAATGACAATTTGATAGGCTTAGCTAAATTAAGATGTAGATAGATTCCAATCTCTAGAAAGGCATGTGTCATAACAAGACTGCACTAGTGAGATCCAGAAAAATATATGCTATATCCTATTGAAGGATAAATGAATGATAACTGCCAAGAATTATTTATGGATTTTTATTACGTATATTCTTATTGGATAATTAAGTCACTAAATTATATACATTTTCATATTCCTTTTATCATAAGTTTCCAAATGACTAATTGACTATTATACGATTTAAAATTCTTAGTTATTCTCAATCTATTAGTTACAGCCTCTCACACACAGGCACTTTTAATTTGATCTCGTATAACTGATATTTTCTGTTTTATGGTGAGGTGCGGTCTGATTTGCTTGTATATAAACTGGGTATGTCTGAAATATATGATTTATGTAGCGGAAGCTGCGATTGGGTTCTGGACTTGACGGACAGAGCTGGACGAGAAGGACCAATAAGAATTCAGGGATGATTCTAGACCATTCGTGCTGGTTATGTGTCATTGGTATGGAACAGGGCCAATGTTGTATAACTCAATGTTCTTATTGGCGATATTGTCACGTGATAATTAAAAGGGCAAAAGTCATAACAATATAATATTATGATTCACAGTCACATAATAATCGATTTTACGCATTTGTCATCCACAAATTGATTACGGAAATTTGAGTATATTTATTGAAAGGAACAGTCCTGGTCATACCACACAAATTTTGTTCAGACGAAAAATCATATGTTTTTAACTAGATACAAATGACATGAAATTTTTAAAAAAAGTTACCATAAAGTATGCATCCAACTAGAATCTGTCTAAGGTGCTGAATTTAAAGAACTCTACAGAAATTAAGCGTAAATTTAGGATTTCTGAATAGTGTAAACCTGTTACAACATATGAAATCACCACTTTTTAGTGAAAATAAGTTTTCAAAATTGATGCTTAAATGATGTGAGCCTAATCTCCTTCAAGATATTGCGCATAAACTTTTCCATGGATCCTAAATAATTAATTCGAAGACAATATTCATTTATAACATAATTAGTAATCACTGAAAACAATAAATAATTAATTTAGCAGTTGTATATTGTTCATTTCTACTTCAAGGTGCTGTTAATATTGTCCAGAACAAGAATGGAAGCTTCACAATTGTTTAATCTAGTATGGGGAAAGAAGTACCACTAAATGGATCCTCTTAACCTTAATCTCATAAAAAACAGTTCATCTATGTTACATAAACTGTAATGTGAGATTCATGATATAACCACATCGAAAAAGCTGTTAATAATACATATAACCTCATAATAAACAGTAATTGATAATCGTAACAATTTTATTTATCCGCATGTGTACACTAATGATAGTTTAAGCAAATCAATTGCATACTAACAGTGACTACACAAAGAACCGGTCTATCTCGTCCAAATAGACCGAAAATAAACTCAAATTACCGTAAATACTCGTGAATTCACCGAAAGATTATAAATTTACAGAACTAAAATTGTAAGAATCACGGATTTACGATAAAAAGTTTACTTATTTTAGGCATTCAAACCTACATAAGTCGACCTCAAAAGTATACATAAATTAATTTCGACCATCATGTATATCAGTGAAGGATTTGTTATAAAGCTAGATTACTCTCAATAATTTCTATACAGTTAACTGACCTCTTTTAAATCAAATCATATATTTGATAAACATAAATGGGTGGGGAAAAAAATCAACATTAAGATCTAGACAACATATTATTGATTATCAATCTAGTGATTGGTCAGTAGATTTAAAAAAATACTGTATTCTTCAATCAATTTACCCGTCACTCGAAATATATGTAAAATTCATTAAACCCCACCACCACCACCATTCATTATAAACACACTAATACAAACAATTCAATTACCAATATTTTTTAAGCGAATATAAATGGTCAGTATAAAATAGAAGTTTAAACAAAATAAGGTAAGAAAACTAAGAAATAAAACAATAGAGAAAAATAAACACTGTAGAAACTATCATTATAACCATTCAATAACCACCGAATACAGTTATTGATTTTGAATTATATAAAAGATTTTTTTCATTTGATAAATACATTCTAGAATGTAAAAAATGTGTGTTCGAATGTTTGATTATGTGATTTTTCTATTATTGATTTAAACAACTCAAAATGTGTATCAATAAACGTTTTTTTTAAAATGAAGTTATAAATTCATATGGTGTTGTTTTACCTGTATCTTTCTATCGTTATTTAGGACCGAAATTGATCAATCTCATGTTGGCATATGTGCATCCTGTGCAGATTGCCTCGATATAGCCTGAAGCCACAAGCTTTTTAAGCAAAGATGGATAGTGGCTATCAGTGGAATCCAGGACGTGCGTTTCGTTCTGTTTGGGACTCGTCAGCTGGATGTACCTGCATCGCAGAGTTGATATTCACTGACACTATCCATCTTTGCTTAATTAAGTTATAGCCTAGAACTTTCAGATGATTGAGAAATTGTTTTTATTTGTTTTATTCTTGTAAAAATGAGCAATATAATGTTTTTTATCATTAAACCATCATTAAATGCTAAAAGGAAGTGGACAGCCAATGACTTTCGAATTTAAGACTTAACAGAATTGTTCAGCCATTGAGGCCCATAAGGAATTATACCCTAAACCTTTACAGCTTCTAATGAGCCTTACACTTTTAAACTATTTTGCTTAGTAAAATATGTTATTTTATATAATCAGTCCATGATAAGATTATTTGGATACTGGTTTACAATAGATGGATGTAGGTAACGGTTTTGGAGGTTATTATCGGCACTTTAGACTATGCTAATGTGTAACATCTATTGTTAGTTTATTATAGTTCACTATCATTTTCAGCTCTTCATAAATACCAAAAATTGAATTCGCATAAATCTACACAAGACGACCACCTAAGTAAGTAATAATAGAATACAATAATTTGTGTGCGAAATATAATCCATTTATTAAGTGGGAATTATGTTGTTTGTAAAGTCATTCCTACAACTAGGTCAAAATCAATTTGAGAAACTTAATCATAACATATGAAAATAGTACATCAATTAAAAGGGATTCTTTTTTCTCTTATGACAAAATGGAATGAAAAGTATCATATAATCATGCTGAAAGCTATCACTTATGATAACAAAAGTCATGGTCAAAGAATTTAAATATTTAGCTCTTCATTAAAATTGACCATGGATCCATATCTTATGAACTACATTTTAATTTATTTTACCTACCGTTACACTATTCATGTATATCTACCTCACATAGCTATTTTTATTTAGGTAACATAATAAATGGTATAAACAATTGGAAACCAACTAGCAATAGCCTCACTCCTATTTTGTTCATTGCAAACACTTTTTGATTTACAAAAAAACAGACCAATTTGCACATTTAACTACGTATTCACTAAATTCAATGAAATATTTTAAATATTTTTAAAATACTAACAAGGTACTACTGATCATCAACAACAATATGAATTAGTCTATTATATTAAGAATAAGAAAACCGCAAATGTATGTTGGGATTGTGGATCCTCAATGTGGCTCTTCAACTTCAGAAATAAATTAGAACAGTTGTGGCGATCAGGACTCAGTATCTAAGTGAATAACGTGATGGCATTTGAAACGAATGTTACTGGGTTAAAGTCCTGGAGGGAACATCAACTCTTGAATACAGGTACATCTAGCTGATGCGTCTCAAATAAGACTAAACGCGTGTTATGGATTCCACTACAAGCCAATATCCATCTTTACTTACAATAGTTGTTTAATACTTTACAGATTTTATCGACTTTACAAATTATATCAGACTGTGATGGAAATTACTTTTAATTTATATCAAATTCAACAAACCAACTTATGAAAACAAAATTGTATACTGTAGCTTGTAAAATCATTATCTTATTCAATATTTACATACATAGAATCAGTATTATACAAACTATTGAAACGAAAAACTGGAAAGTGTTGTTGGTGATTTTCATTAACGATAAACATTGTAAATTTATTTATCGATAAAGTAGTGTATGTTTTTTTTCAAAGATATATTTTCCAGTCAGTTGTCACCATGTTAAAAGTTCTTTGAAGATTATAGATACAACATTATTGATTAGTTTCAGCTATCATGAAACTTAGATTCAAAGCATTCCATCGATTTTAACCAATTACCAGTTTGCAACAAAACATGACATAAGTCCACTTGGGAAATTCCATACAAAGTAATTAGATTCTTGAACAATAGAAAACTATAGGGCATACGATTATTTGGACAGTTCTGATTGTTTCATTATCGTTCTATATATGGATATTTAGATGCTGTTTTCATTTGATTTATAATTAGCGATTTCAGATGCCATAGTAACAATCTATTCATTAACGTTTCCTAAGGTTGCTAACAAAAACACTAGAGTAGAGTACATTACAAAATGAACACCTAACTACTATCCAATAAACATTTACTCTCTTAATTTTATATTCAAGAGGCCAAAAGTATAAACTTTCTGATTCAAAGATGGGAATACATGCACATACATTGGATAGAACATTCAAGAATTAACTGGAATGAAATATTGTATGATTCACGCAACATTTGTATAGATTCAAATGTCAAAAGTTATCACTAGAATACAGTACTCTTATTTTTTGTATAGATATATAATTGTGTTTAAATTCCTAACGAAAGATTCTATTCACTTAGTTGTATACTTCTATACTACTAAATGTGAGAATTAATAATTCGACCGGTTATTTTGTAATATCTAGCTGTTATTTTCATAAAAGATATCTGATACATTCATAATAGTTTTTCCTTGGAGAATAATTTCTGATCACATACATGCCAGTACATAACAAATGCACAACAATGTCATTTTATTAAATATGGAAATTACTTATAAAATCAAAATAAAATTTCAAACATCAGTCTCTTTCCTAACACAGAGGGGTTTTTAAATAAATTAATCAGTGTGGGACTTCAAAGTTTCGGTTTTGATTCATGAAAGGCTGAGTTCTGGATCAGAATAAGTTAAATGCCCCTGGTTTTCTGGTGTCAATCTGTCACGAAAAACTACATTTAAATTAAATTAAATCTAATATTATAAACTACTAATCCAGACCATGGTAACGTTTTATTGATTGATACAAAAAGTTTACTTACATAAACTGAAGAATTCTCTATACACTGGACTGTTTTACCATATGCCATACTTATAAGAAATTCATGATAGTATCCTGTTCCTGATGGAGTAAACATTTTTGGACTGGAGACATGATGAACTCTAAAGTAAATGAAAAGGCAACCAAACTTAGTTATTTTTCAGATCAAAGTATTGTTCAATGTATAGCTGTGGTTACAAGTACGTTCATTCTTAAACAATTCATATTATCAGAATGGAGTTTGTGGAGATTGCAGTAACTTTAATAGTTGAACTCATGAGTCAATCTAAGCTATACCACCGTACTAGCACAAAACGGCCGTCCGGTGCTTCCACGTTTTTAATAGTGATCTAATTGAAATCAACTCATTAATTCAACTATTAAATTACTATTATCTCCACAAATCTCCACTCTGATAATAATCATCGTGTGCTCGCTAGTGACTGACTTTAAGATGGATTTCCTCGTGTTCTAGTGAGAAATTGTGACTAGTGGAGTCCAACCATGTCTGTTGTGAGGCAGCTACTCACTGAAGATAATGGTGAACGGTCGCGCAAGATCGTGAATTGGTTGAAGCTAGACATTAACATTGTTGGATGCCAGCTCAGTGGTTCAGAGGTTGTGTTCGTCTGCGAAAACGAATATCTTGGGTCTGCTGCGGAGTCCAATACTAGAACAAAATATCTGCCCAGTGCTTCTGGGTTTTCAATGGTGGTTTGGCTCAAATCGACTCATGAATTCAACTATTAAATCCATGTTATGTCATTCTATGAAGGAAAAGGAGATATTCTAGTTTGATGAGATAAAAATGATAATTTTACCATTGAAAAATTATAAATGTTTTATGCATCAAATACTGACGAATACAAAGTTCACTTCCTGTCCTACTTGAGGTGCATCGACTGAATAGAAATTTCCAAGCCCTAACGTTATTCATTATAAACTCCCATAAGAATAAGATCAACTTATTAATATACTCAATATCAAAACATTTACTCAAATGAGCTTTTTATGTCAACAAAAAAAACTGTTTAATTTCGTCCTGATGAATAACAAAACAATGTGGAAAAACAAAAATTTTTCAAAACATTATAAATTTTACCTGTCAATCACATAAGTTAAATTATATTGAAAACCAGACGCTGTAATTGGTTGTGTATCAGTCACACATATACTATGATTCACTGCAATTGTACCCGGTTCACATAAATGACATGCTTCTGTAACTGTATGTAAACTAGATGCATCGCCAACTACAATGGAATTATTTGGACATTTTGTACAATTAATAATATTTGTTTTATTAATTTCATCATATTGTACCGAATAATATAGACCAGATGGACAAGTTTTACACCTGTAAAATTAATAAAACAAACTAATCAAAATAAAGAATTGTCAGGATGAATACTAGACTGTTTTCAAGTAAAATGTAACGGATAGTACATTCTGAATAAAGTGTTTAGCATACGAGATCAAAAATAAAAATTAAGCTTAGAAGAAATGAAGATAAAACGTGACCAAATGTTATATTTATAAATAAAAACAATTAGCAAGCAATGGTTTATGAGACTCAATTCCGACAGGTGAAATTAGTGAAAAGGTAAAGAGGTATCTTACTAACATTATTTTAAACATAATCAATGATTAGCAACACAAAACATAACACTAATGTGTGTCGACGTGAGTCCTCATACCAAATCAGCGAAACTAGGTAGATAGCAAACCACTGAAAGCTAGGTAGCAATCGACGGATGTTTTGTCCTAGCATAAGACTCCTAGGTAGCACTCATCCATAATTCACTGGTGATCAGATCCACGAAATTCTGGCCTCTCAACGAGTTATAAACTTTCAGACTATGGAACCCCATCAAATGGTAAACATGCTTACCTTTAATCATTTCGTGATACTCTTTGGCCATCCTCGATTATCTTTGATGAGCTACTGCCTGACACCCGAAGGTGCTAGTGCAATGTCGCAAATTGATTAAAGGTGGAGATGTTCAACACTATATCCTGGTTCAGTGGTCTAAAGATTGGGCGCTCACTGAAAGACCAGAATTTGGTGGGTTCAGTTACCCGTGAGTCAAGAGTGAGCGCTCTCTAGGAGTCTCATAATGTGAAGAAACATCTTTCAATTGCTACCTGAATTTTATTAGTTGTTTAACTAAGGTTAGTTGGTGGTGTAAATTGCAGAAATGAAGAATATCATTCAAGAAGAATGGTTAATTTTACAGAATTAGTAACATAAAATAACTTCGAGGATCAAGATCTAAGGGACAGCAACGAATTAATGCATTAGCACTATTGAAATAGGTACTGAACAATATAACGCAATATTTCCGATCAATGATTAGGCTTACGTCAACTAAGAAATTCCCTAATCAGTCTCCATCTCACATAAACGTGATTTTCCAAAATACGTGTTTAAACATAAACACACTGAGAAAACAATTTTAATCACGGTTTGTAGATTTTATTGGCCACAGTTACCATGTAGTATCTCTATAGAGGCATTGTCGCTGCATGATAAGAAAACATCTAACAAGTTTATCATGGTGAAGTATCTTACCAAATAGTATTATTGTTCTTTCAATTCTGTTTCAATATGGGCTGGTCTACTTTGTTATATCTACAAATTCCAAATAATGATAGCTAGATAAAATCAATAATACAAAAAATAGCCTTTGAGGCTGTGGAGCTATCATTGTTCTTTCTCAAGTAAAAGTTAACCTGAAGTTTGTGCTGATGATGTTGTTCAGAAGAACAATCAAAATTCCATGATCAAACCATCCGGCTCAGAAAACGAGACCATTATTATTATTATCTTTATCTTTGTTATTATCATTATTATTACACTTGATAACCTTTTTGAGGAATTTATTCAGCATCCACCCCTAAATCTACTATATCTACCTAAATCATATTATTCTACATATTACGTAATTTCTGATTGTTATTGCATTATTCTCTCTCCCCATGTTGACCATATTTATTCTGATCATTTATCTCACAATTTCATTTCACTTATAAATTGATTCAAGTTAACATTTTATATTAGTCAGCCCCAACATTAACGATTTGATTAGATTTTATATAACAAACAACAATTCTTAATTTACATATTACAATTTCCAAATGATGTCTTCTGCCTTAAATCTGGCCAACTTTATGGATTATTAATTTGGATTTATAATTGTAGAACCTGATGAGAAATTATTGAAAAGAATATTCTTCGTTCATACAATTGTGTTTTAAAATAAAAGGAATTTTTCAGCGATTAAAACGAGATTTCACTAAAATCATCCAACTGAGCTATAAATCTTCCAAACAATCTCAAAATAGCTTTGAAGTCTAAACTTAAAACGAAGTATAAGCAAGTAACCTACTGATTTATGATATTCAAAATGAATATCATGTTTCCGTCGGGAATATTGTTCTCAGAAATTAATCCAAAGTAAAAGGACAAACTGAAAAAATCAGTAAAATATACTACGAAAAATAAGGTGAATTTTCAATTTTATACAAGTAAAATGTTCACAGTGAGGAATCGTCGCCTTTATTGCAGAAGAATGGGAAACTTGGTGAAAACAAGGACAAACATATCTCAGTTTAATTCATGAAACAAATGACTGAAGACATGTTCAACTTACAACATACACAATTGTTAAAACTCCTGTGCTACAGTCTTCCCTCTTTGAAATTCTACTCATTTAGCTAAATAATAGAACGTAAAGTAAATACTGACAAAACAACCCATGCATATAAATATGTATTTTTTGAAAGATTGAAGACTTGATCCAAGTATATAATTCTGGTTTTTAAGTGATTCCAAAAAAAGACTAGCATTACTTGAGATGTCATTGAAAATCAGATGTAAACGTTTAGCTTCAGTATAGGACTCTTCAGGATTACACACAAAGCAAAAGGTAAGCGGACGTAATGTCAATGTTATTTAGATCACACAAATCGACATTCTCAACAAAAACTCTATATTAGTAGTAAACATGACTGATTTCTAGAGGTAATGACCAAAGATCTAGTGAGAAGCAGTAACTAGTTAGATTCAATCATGTCGAATTTGAATTATTTTCCCACTGATAGCATTAAAAGATGGCTGAGCAATATTGTAAATCTATTGAATTTAGACATTTAGACCACTAGATGCCGACTCATTGGTTGAAACGTTAGGTCCTCACCACGAGATCTGAAAGTCCAGGTCGTGAGTGCTCATTGATAAGGAATACATACAAGCACAAACCAGGTATCTCGTTTTCCCTGGTTTTTAATGATGACTAATTAGGAACAGTCTATGGTAAAAAAAAATATGAATTTCGATAGTCTCTACAAGCTCCCTAGAACTCTTGATTTGTTGTTTAGCGTGAAAATTATCCCCAACAGGATCTTGAATACTCATTGCTGAAGATTTCAGTACTAGAATGCAACTGGTCTTCACTGGTTCTAATGTCAATACATAGCAAAAACTGAAAAACAACTTGAAAATTCAACAAATAACATCATCTATAAACGATAGTTGAATTATAAATTAGATTAGACTCTAGTAAAATCGATTATTTGTGATAATTGAATGTTACCAAAATGACTCATATCTTTCAACTTAAATCACATGTAAGTAGATTCTCTTGTCTTATAAAAAGTTTTAATAAGTATCTTAACGGCACCAAACAAGAAAAATATGATTGATGATGCCTAGACAATTCAATCAAAGAAAGTATAACACTATCTATTGTTGATTTGTTAACATGTTTATTTACACGGCGTATTGATTTTGTACCCTTTTTTTCAAAGTACTTACACGTACGACAATTGATGATTTGTTGATGATGAATTTAATCTAATATGTTAAAATTAGAAATTCAGTAAAATGTTTCTCTCAAGCCATGAGAGGAACATAATAAATTGATGCAACCATCTTTGATGTAAAATAAAAGAATTGATTATTTTGTAAACTAGTACATACACATACGCTCATAATACTATTATTAATGATTGTGGAAAGGACTTTGATGATATACAAACATTTATAATTCAGCTGTCTAAGTATAATGTACGCCTTAAATTCTGTTTCATGCATAGTCTTGGATATTCATTATTGAGATATTACAAATGAAAATGAAATAAAAATCCATCTAATAAACATAATTGTGGTAACCTAATAAAAATTTAATAGTCGTTATGCGCTTTTCGAAGAAATATTATGAAATTCTTGAACTGATACTAATACAGCTAATCTACATGACATAAGTTATTAAAATGAAGCTTACTTTTTGATGGAGTTTTGTCCTCTGAGCTGGATAGTTTGGTCGTGGAGCTTTCATCGTTCTTCTGAACGACATCATCAGCACAAACTTCAGATAGAAGTGAAGTGTTTGAATTTCTCCATATGCGTTTCACAGCTTGTTCTGTGCACCTCGATGTTGATTGGTTCTTATTGACCTTAAATTTGTCATTGTTTACTTGTTTGTCTTGGTTTTGTCTCCTATTGGTTTGATTCTTGTTCCAAACCATCTTGACCAAACCATCCAGCTCAGAGAACAAAACTCCATCAAAATCATCCACCTGAGCTACAAATCTCCTCCAAAATCTCGAAGCTTACTTTATTGCGCAACAAAATATAATAAGTGATACCACGTAATATTTTTGCAGTGTCTCCAGGTAACGAGTCTCAGGATAGTATGAAGTGCCTTAAACTCATGGATAGTGCCTATTTAAGATCTCATACACCGAGTGGAGTCTAGAACTCATAGAATGTACAATACCTCTGAATCATTTAATTTTAACCAATTAAACGACGCAGTTGCTGGACAATCGCATCATATCACACATTGACTGAGGTGACAAAGTAACTGGGGTAGAACGGTGATAGAAATAGCATTGAACACATGCTAATTCACTACAGTAAATATCTTCATTCTTTCCTTACTTAAAATGTATCATTGATTCGTAAAATAAATTCAAGATAATAAATCTTAATCAAAAATTTAATCTACCAACGTTTTTCTGCTTAAATTTAAGACTTTTCCTAAAATATCTTCAAACATGTTGTCATGGTGATTATAAAGTTAACAATGCTAATTTAAAACAAAACTTTAACACCAAACAAAAAATTAGCTAAAATACCACTAAATATTAATAACAGCGTAATTTGAATTTTATTTTATGTAACAAATAGATCCATTTTTAAAGAAAATGTCAATTACTTAAATAGAAAATGATTTCATAAGTTTGAATGACTTTATTATGTTATTAGATCATTTTAATTGTACATACCTACAATAATAGATATAACTTGACATAGTGTAATCTACATTGTAACGGTAAAAATAAATCTCAGTATTAACTAACTAACATTGTAATAAACTTCTTATTTGAATTTACACTCGAATGATATATACTTAAAAATTTATTGTTTTTATTTTAATGGTTTACATTAAACAATATTTGTCATTCCATGGTCATTTGTGATAATATTTCCTATGATTTCAGTCGTAATAACACTTTGTTTCTCTTTTCATTATATGTAAGTATATTATACTGGATTGATGAATCACAATGTAATCTTTTTTTCACTCTAAAGTGTCGACAGATATGATGTTAACTCGTGATTTTTTCAAGTTTTTCTCTAGTGAACATCTGAATAAACGATAAGCGTGAATTCATACAGTTAATATTCAATGTTATTTAGTTAAAACAAATTCACAACAGAAATATATGTGTTTATAATTTTTGTACAGTTCAAAAATAGACAGTCTAAACATTTGAGGATTCTATAAAAGCTAATAGGTACTACAGTTTTTAAGTGATCAAACATTGCTGTACTTATTCATTTACCAAATTACGTAGATGTTATTCTACCATCAAAACGTATTACAACCAATAAGTTGATGACTTCGAGTTCACTAACACATACTGTAAAGGATATGAACTTCCACAATGATCTATAACATGGAAGAAATGCCTGTTAACATCTTTTAGCAGACTGATGATCTTCAAAATAAAAAAATCAATAATGCATTTTAAACTAACACTCTTTACATTTTGATAATGAAACAATGTTGCTTAATAACAACATTATAGATAGCCAAATTGTGAAGAAATATAATAAACACTATTTTACATTAATAGATTTGATATCAGAAAGTAAATATCATTTTCAGTAAGAAGTTGTGGAGATTATTATGCTTTTGATTGAGATCATAAACTGATCGATGTTAGATCACCATTAAAAACTTGAGAGCACTGAACGGCCGTTTATTTCTATTGTGGGAATCTTCATCAGTGTGCGTCCACGATCTCGCTTGCGGGATTCGAACTCAGAGACTTCAATTGTGGCTTAATATCGACTGGTTGATGATTTCAATCAAATACCATTTTATTTTGGCGGAGAAGTTAGAGACGAAATTAAAATGATTTACCAATATAATTATCCAGATAAATAATATTTATTTTGAAAATCAGATGGAATGTAACGGTGAAGGAAAAGAAGTTTCTACAATGAATTAAGTATTTTTATTATTCATCCTTTTTTTCAAAACGTTATACTCTCCACTTCTCTTCATTAAAATACATTCACTCATCTACTACTCCCATGGCAAAACTTCAGAATTTACATCCCTAACTACCTATTTTTCCCAAATCTACAATTATTGTTATATATGATTTATATTTCAAATTTGTTTAAACTTATTTTGTTCACTCATATGCTTCAATCGAAAGATTGTAATTAATCCCAATGTTAAATGGCTCAAAGTTCAAACAGAAAGTATCCAATAAATTTGTATAAATTTTTTCTAGTTTACATGTATGTAAAGTGAGATAGCATACTCTACAATATTTTATTTACTATATACATACGGTACGATGTACAGCGATGAATTAATGTTCGGTGGAGAACTTATCAAAAAGCCTAGTAACTAAAGATAAATAAAATTGTAATGGAAATATTTTTCAATGAACTGAGTTTTGAATAGGAAAACTATAAACCCATCGTCACATAACTTATACATTCATCCAATAACTTAGATAAGTAATATTTATTTTTCTTATTTAATCAGTTGGCACATTAGTAACCCTTACTATTGTACCAATCTTAGATCATTCAAAGACCATCTACATATGGATAATATCAATAATCCATTTAAATGCGATCTAATGATCTTTCAATAGACAAAATAGTCTACCACTGAATTTTTCCTATTTGTTTCTTTGGAAAAATAAAGAAAAAAAGACAAACAAATAAACGAATTATCATTCAAGTTATCATTCATCTTATTTACGTACTTTCCACTGACAATTCCTTGGACACATGTTTGACATCCGATAGTATTATCATTTTTCACATTGGTTACTTCAATTTGATAAATATTTACATGATCTTGTATATGAATTGGTGAACTTGGTTTTTCAAAAATCCATTTGAATTTAACTTCACTTGCATCTTTTATATGATACCTAATTATTAACAATAAAAGTAGTAATTATGATAATAATAATAATACTAGTCAGACAAATCAAGTGCTGCAAAGCAGCAGGACCAGACAACATTCCAGCAGAGGCACTGAAAGCAGGCAAGGATGCTTACTCTCACCCTTTCTCTTCCTCCTGGTGATTGAATGGATCATGAAGACGTCAACATCTGAAGGGAAACACGGGATACAGTAGATATCTAGGATGCAGTTAGACGATCTAGACTTCGCAGATAATCTGGCTCTTCTATCGCAAACACAACGAAAAATGCAGGAGAAGACGACCTGTGTAGCAGCAGCCTCAGCAGCAATAGGTCTCAATATACACAAAGGGAAAAGCAAGATTCTCCGATACAACACAGCATATAACAATCCAATCACAATTGACGGAGAAGCTTTGGAAGATGTAAAAACCTTTACATATTTGGGCGGCATCATCGATGCAGATGTGAATGCGCGGATCAGCAAAGCAAGAGCAGCAACTAACACCAAAGTCAGGGTTTTCAACACAAATGTGAAGACAGTTCTACTGTATGGGGCGGAAACCTGGAGAACCACGAAAGCCATCATCCAGAAGATACAGGTGTTTATTAACATTTATCTACGTAAAATACTTCGGACCCGTTGGCCAGACACTATTAGCAACAACCTACTGTAAGGGAGAAAAAATCAGATCCCAGTGGAGAAAGAAATCAGGAAGAGGCGCTGTAAGTGGATAGGACACACATTGAGGAAAGCACAGAACTGCGTCACAAGACACACCCTCACATGGAATCCTCTAGGCCGAAGGAGAAGAGGAAGACCAAAGAACACATTACTCCGAGAAACAGAGACAGACATGAGAAGAATGAACAAGAATTGGATGGAACTAGAAAAGAAGGCCCAGGACAGAGAGGGTTTGAGAGTGCTGGTCGGCGGCCTATGCTCCATTGGGAGTAACAGGCGTAAGTAAGTAAGTTGAAAATTCACACAAATCCTTGCTTAAAATTTAGACTACTGGGATAACATTCACTGATTTACATTCCTAACTTCGATCTACTCACGGCATTGTTAAACTATCTTCCAATGTTATTAGTGCGTAACTGGCAACAAAAAATATTCATGATTTACAACTAGATATTACTTGGAAGTAATGTCATAACAATGCAGTGAGAAGTAGAAGCTTATCAGAATTATGTTGTTAAATTGACATATTTATCTAAAAAGATAGGTATAAATAGACATATGACTTTTAACCCTTAATGAGTACATTCAAACCCAGTATTATTCATAATGATGATTGTTATAAGTAGTATCATCATTAAAAATTTCTACAAGTTAAATGTCATATAGAATCTACAGCATAGAAGCAGCACGTCGTCACCGGATTGAATAAAAATAATTGGTTAAAATACTAATCATGATGCTAAATCTCAATTGACAAGCAAAAATACTGAATTGAAATTTACTGAATTCAATTATATAAACTAATACGATTAACCAGCACACAATGATCCTATTACAAATGATCACTGTTAATACAACAACCTATAACATGTAAACATCCTTTGTGAACCGAATCAACTGTAACTTAATCGTAAGTAAATTCATATATATTGTGCTTTCCCCATCGAACAAAACATGATTAATAACAGATTTTACGAAATTGTAAATATACAATCTAACTTTTAAAAATGATAAATATGTTCATTATTACTCCCTTACACTCAACATATGTACTACGATAAATATTAGTAGATTAAACTATTTATTATCATCTAATGACAAAATCACTTTTAATTAATCTTTCTTAATATAACACGACAACAATCCAGTGTCATCTGTCCAATCTGTCCGATTTCAGATATAGGTTCTTACAAGCATAAATCTCTTAGCTAAGATATAGTATAGGACTTCCTACTAGTATACACTCACTACCTTGAAAATGCGGACCGAACTCGGGACTTTCAGCCTCTAGACCACTTATTCTATACCCAACCATGTTAATAACTGACTTCTAGCAAGAAGCTTCTACAGAAAAGCCGTAACTAGTAGCGTTCGACCGCGTTGAATGCGAGACAGTTATCCATCATACGCGATGGTAAACAGTTGCACAATATCGTGAATTAATTAACTTTATACACTAACATCATTGTATGATGGCTCAATGATCTAGAAGTTACGAGTTCTCGAGAGAGACGGAAGGTTCAGAGTTTGATTCTTGAGTACATGGTTGTGAATGTATATTGTTGAAGAGTATCTTACGAGGATGAAAAGGCTTCCTGGTTTTCAGTGGTGATCTAGTTAGGTTCGTGATTAAAAAAACTATATGAATTCCATAATCCCCATTAAACCTTATACTGATATGATATCCTAGTTTATGAAATTGTTATTACGAAGATTTAAAGATAGATAGTTCATTCACACAGATGTTTGAACTGTGACCAAAAACTTTATTACTAACTACTACCATTAGATCATAATAAATATATACTGTACCAGTTGAAAGACAACTTCTAAGTCAATAATTTCGAACTTCTTGACATGGATGAACTTTGTGAATTATATGATCAAATATTTAATTTAAAAAGTGTCTTCTTTTGCACATTTCACTAATCTTATTCAACATCATTTGAAAGACTATAAAATTTATATTATAATATAGTGTTAATTATACAATATGACAAAAATAATTAATAATCAATGAATTATTTATTAAACAAATCAAATTATTAATTCCATCTCAGTGGTATGCATTTTTGGCATTTGAACATTGATATATGTTTCGACAAGATATTCATGAAAGGTTTTACTCTCTCTCTATCTATATCTATCTATGTATATAATTCATCCCTTTATTTATTCTTTTAACAAAGTTAAAAATAACAAGCTGAAACTGTAGAATGGCATTTAAAACATTTCACAGTAACTATATAATTTTCAATAACTCACGTGAAATTTCTTCGGTTTGATGATCCACCCCAGATAGCAATCGTTTGTTCATTACCAGCGACTAAAACCTAAATGAAAACAATTAACAATAATTTTCAACAAAAAGCAAATACAAATTTGAATAAATCCCAGTTTAGCTTTAGTTATATAGTTGTGTTATTTTTTGTAGATATTTTGAAATTCACATGGTGTTGTTTATTTGAATCTTCCTATTGATGTTTACGACTGATCAACTGCAGTCGTAAACATCAATAGGAAGATTCAAGCAGACAATACAAAACTGAATTAAAACCACTCCATTACGCAAGCTAATGGCTATTAGGACTCATTATCTAAGTGGATAACATAATGATGTCTGAAGCGAACGTTACTGGGCTCGAGTTTCGGAGTGAACACTAATCTGGAATGTAGGTGTGTCGGGCTGATGAGTTCCAAATAAGAAGAAACGCGCGTCCTAGATTCCACTACTAGCCACCACCCATCTTCGCTCATAATGATATTTCGAAAAGAATTTATGTCATAAAAATTGAGATTACCAAGAAAGCCATTGACAACTCCAAAACAATTAAATCAGTGACACCAAACAATTAAATTCATTGATAAGTACCTAAGATTTGATAAAAACCTGTTCATTTATAAAGTCAAACTAGAAATAACTGAGACAAATAACTCAGTGAATGAATTTTTTTGAATATTGCAAATTGACCAAAAGTCACAAATTTGATCCATTCAATTATAATAACTTAGTCTAGAGGTCTTATGGTCACCTTACAATTTAAAGACTATGGAATTAATCATATGTGAAATCGCAGACGTGGACAGTCAAGAATTTCTATTGTAAGAGAGAACAGTTGTCGGGTTGTTGCCTGATGTTTTAAAGTTTCTCAGCTATAGTCAGTTTATGATGAAAATTAGCGTTAGTATTTTGTATGAATGTAAACTGCTGGTTTCATTCATAGTGTCTGACATAATAATTAGAAGTGACATTTAACTTATATAATTTAGAAGTTTGATAAAAGATATATATCATCAAGTACCGATCAAAGTATCGACACTCCTCAAAGCTAACAAATAATCATGCATACACACTCTATCGGTTGGAAATGAGGCTATTTTTCTGAAAGGGAAGAGATAGATATTTATGAATGAGTTGTGCACATATTTTTGATTCGGTTACCTAATAAAAGCTTCCTACTCACTCTTGGTTCTCTTATTCAAATATACCTGGTTTGGGCACACATACAGTAGGTGTATATCTTCGTAACAAAGTCGTACTATTGCACAACACAACATTTAATTAAGGCGAAATTCTCGAGCACTTTTCATCGACAGACTAAATGAATTTTTTTCAAGTTATCTGAATAAAACACAAATATAAAAAAAACTTTTGAGGATTCATTAAACTGAAATTCTGCGCAACTGTTTTCTTTACAATTCATTACAGAAACTGGGGACAAAATTTGATAAATAGGAATTGTGATTCATAGTTAGAAATAACATGTTTCTAGTTTCAACTCCACTCTAAACATTTCTGGCTGAAAGTAGCCTTTTATTCGAGTTTTTTATGTGAATTAGATAACTGATTATAAAAGTACATTAGTATTTTGAACAGAACAACGCCTTATTTCTTAAAAGAAACGTATATATCTTGACTAGGGGAAAATGGAGTTCTTGGTATTAACAATATATTCATAAGGAATAATACTGCATCTATCTAAAACATCATAGCAATTTAAATGAATTGTTGAAAAATAATTTTTTTGCATGAATAACTTGATCTCAATCGCCTTAATTATGAACAATTAAATTTACAGTCCTATTGGGAATCAATATAACAGGTTAATACAAACTGTTATTAGAACCATTACTGATCTCCGTATGTTTAATTAGAATGTTATCGATTATACTGTTCAATTGCATGTCTGCTTTTATTAGCCAAAATTATTCTTTATCTATTTCCATATTTGTGCTCATGTTAATTATTCACTATTAACTTAGTTTAACGTAGTTTAATTGTGCTCAACTTACGTATGCCTGACATCTATCCTGTAATTGGTTATCTATGGTTCATAGAATATTTACTTTATATAACGACCAAGTCACTCATTATTCATTGGATAGGTTTTTACAGTTACTACTGTCTGGATATACTCAACTACCACATTCACTCTTTCATTTTGCTTACTCACATGAATGCTCGAAACGCTTGTCCTAAAACGAACTTGTATTCGAATTTTTATTTTTACATTGTACTAAAATGATTATTCGATAGAAGATATACGAGGTTGAACAGACTATACATTTTATAAGCATTAACATCGTTCAAGAATATTGGAGTTAGATGATGGACACCGAAGAGTAATGATACACAATATGATGTTTATCAAACAAATCAAATTACATAACTAAATAATGACTCCGGAAATTTGACGACTATTATTGTGAGTGCTACACTAGTCAATACAATTTACAGTTGTAAACAAACATTACAGTAATATTAATGACTATAAACAAGAAAGGTTTAATGGGTTTGCAAAATTGTAAAGATGACTTCAATTAGTGTGGAAATAAGACAATTTAATAAAGTAATAAGTTTGTTGTAATCCTCGAAACAACAATTTAGGTAATTTTTGTATCTTGTCAATAAAGGTTAATACTTTTTTCCAAATCTTTATATTTTAGAACAAATTAGTTATTTTACATCTCAATATTAATTTGGACAGAGTGACCATTACACAGTGAATAGTAAGTTGAGGAATATGATACTACACAAAGGTACAAAATTAACAAAATCATCAAAATTCACTGCGATTAATTAAAATGACGAAAGATTCACATTTATTGAACTGTTTCACTTCATTTTCTCTTTTTTTTCTCAAATTAAACTATATGAAGATCATTTAAGATTTCATCATTAAATTTAAGCATCAAAGAATCCGTTAATTTTACTTTACATAAAACTGTTATACATGATTACTGATGTAAAACTAATTTATCTCCCTTCTATCCGGTCCTCTATTGTTGATAACATGGGATATCAAAAATAATTCCATCGGTATCATAAGTTATAAATTATTGAAGCACCCCTTATTTTTATCTCATTTAATGAATATTCTCGTACTGCATATCATATATTATTCAAAAAAATATCACATAATATTGATCTTTATCCTAATTCTACATTTTTGTTCAGTATCAATATAAATTCTCATTTTGATTGTGTAGTAAACAAGCATTTACAAGCAAAATATTTGTTATTATTACTGAAAAATCTGTTGAAGTGATTACTTAAATGTAAATTGTTAGTAACCAGAATTAATTGAATACAATTTAAACAAGGTCATTTATTTAAATAAATAATAAGTATTATCGTTATAGTCACTGATCAGTGAGTTGTACAATAAAGAAATCAATAACTTGGGTATTGTTTTTTTTTCTTCTTCATTTATATCACTGTTGCTTAACAACTTTAAAACAATAAGCCAATAGATACCATGGCGAAAAAATAGATGAACATTGAATAATAATTCTAAATAAAAATTACTTTTCAACTAATATGAAAAATTCGCTTTCTTAATCACAATTAAGAATAATGAAAACTAGTTCAGCTAGTATCATAAAACAAGATTGATGGTTAGGACATGGAACGATTATGTTTATAGATTAGAAGGACTTTTCTTTTTTTGCAACAAACGTAAAAATGAAATCTAGGTTATCTTCAAATATGGTTGATTTGGAATAGGTAAGCCATAAAGTGTGAATGCTGATATGAATCTACAGTATTTATCTTTTAGGTTCATACCTAACTGTTAGCATACTGAACTTGTATGAAGAAAATTAAGGAAAAGTAAGTGGTATTTATAAAATTTCATTCTAATAATTGTGATTTACTTAAAAGTGACTAACTTCGTGAAAAATTCCCGAATTCATTGGAGTTTAGCCGTTATGAGATAGAAACTATTATTTACTCTGACTAAATTCTGCTCAACATTACGAAGTTTTTATAACCATTAAATGCTAATCTAGTAGTTTGATGGCTAAGCTCTCGTCAAGAAGTTTGAAGGTGTTGGGTTTAATCCCTGGTAGGATCAGGGTTTTGTACTGATAAAGAGTCACATACTAGAGTACAGCACTTGTCGGTGACTTCCATACGTCAGTGGTTGTCTAATTAAGGTCAATTCAAGATGTTAGCCTATAATTTGTATCCATTATCAAAATGTAGTAACAATCTTCAACAACACTTTGTACTTGATATTACTACCACAAAGTCTAAACAATTCGAATCGTTTAACTTGAAACTTGAATTTCTAGAATGTTTTCTTAAAAATGATTTTGGATTAATTCTCCTTGTTGATTACAGACAACAAATTCGTTCACATAGAGCATATAGCAAAAAAGGACTTTAAATAAGTTGCATTGATTTAAGGAAAACTGTATATATTCATGAAGCAGATGCGAAAATAAATGGACGTCATACACTCTCTTATACTCTCACTTTCTTTTAATAAAAAAACATCTATCATTTATATTTACAACAAACTAAATATTGCATAAAATAAATAATCAACTATCTCCATTGTTATTGTGTAGGGTCATTGTTAGATAAAACAACTTACCTGTTTCATAGAAAACTGACATCTACCAACACAATCTAATTGAAATTCAATACGTACAAATGTATTAGAGATAGGTGGTTGAAAATAAAAAGAATACTCGTCAGTTGAATCAATTATTGATGCCGTAATAAAACCATCCTTAATTGGTAGTTCTAATGTTGCCGATTCATCTGAATGCATGCCAACTCCACCACGTAATAATGTTAGATCACGTTCCCATGTATTACATTTCGTCCCTTGAATGAATTAATCAACAATAAAATCTAATGTTAAAATCAGTTAATGTACTCAAAAAATGGTGAACGATCATTTTATTTTTCGAGAATCGTACTTTACACTGTTGTTATTAAATAAAACAATCAATCATATTAATACAAACTGTTACATACTTAACTTTTTATGAGTTAAAGCTTGAAGAGATAGGAACTACATTCAAATTTTACTATAACTATCAAGTATATTCAGCTGATGGGCCCGAATAGGATAGAATCGACATCCTCCATTTTATCATTAACTACGATTTCACTTTATCGTATGGCAGTCGTTTTATATTATTTTTCATTGAAACCATGACAACACTTGCTTTTAGTTGAGCTATTAAACTACCACCGATTAGGTCTAGCTCTTCCAATAGATATCTTTCGTTATATTTCTGTAGTCTTAAAATCAACCGATCCGATAATTTATAAATGAAGCTTCAAGTTATCAGTAGTTATGTGAGAAATTAATAATACGTGTAGACCATTCCGAAATACTATAAAGCTAAAATATACGATTCTAGGCTTTAATAAAACGGTTGAAAGAATAATCTTGAAATCATTTAAAGTGTCACTTATAAATTATTGTCGTTGATTGAGATCTGTACCTCAGTCTGACTAGCAAACTGTAAGTATAAAGTTTTAAATTGGTGTGGAAGAGACTGGCAATGGAAGAGCTCTACACTTAAGTCGTTTATATAATATCTCAACAAATCATTAACATCATATTTTCGAAATGCTTAGTTATTGCCAAAACTCTATAAATACACTTTCTTACATACCGAAGAGATTAGACTGTTTCCTAATTTTTTTTACAAAAGCACAATGTTTCACAGTTACTTTTAGATTAAAAAACAGGGTTTTATCCTTGTCATATGAGAAGTTGTACTAATAACTTACCAAAGAAATTGAAACAATCCAATTTCAGTACAGACGGCATACGATACCAATTATCAAAACGTAAACCATACATTGGAACTTCATTAGTTGGACATGTAACACAAGTTTCTAAATTTGATAAATGTTTCTTCATACCAACTGAGCATAATTCACATGTATTACCATCTAATGGGAATGTACCAGTTGGACACTTGTGACAATCAACTGGACTTTCTGGTTGTGGTAAAGAAACACCACTATTTTCATCACATATTTTTGGTTCAATCCATTTCCATTTACGTTGTGTCTACAGGCAAGAAAATACACACACATAGAAAATGATTAACTATTTCATTGATTAGAGTTTATTTAAAATCTGTATTGTGTGCGAAACAGAATAGAAACTGTGATATGGTTAATAAAATATAAATAAAAACACCATCTTCTAGGTTTTAAACAATGAAGATCAAATTATCAAATCGAATTGTTGCTAGTAGCAAAATTCAAGGTGAGATCATCATCTTATTTGGGACCCGTTTGTTGGATGTGTCTAAATCTCAATGTTGTAGTTCACTTAGAACTCTCACTAACTATCCATTAACTCAAATGGCATAATGTTATATTATCAGGTTACTGAATCAGAATAGCCATATCTTCTTCAATAAATATTAAACTTATAATTAATTGATGATTTCACGATTAATCACTAACCAAAATATAAGCAACATACAAACCTGGATAATAATGAGATTCTCATTCAACAAGTTCATATATCAAGGGAGCTTGATAGACACAATCTCAAGTATTCACAACAAAAAAGTATAAACTCTTACAACTAATAATAAATGTGGAAAATCTTTTATTCATTTATTCATTTAAAAATTGAAATATATTTATTTAAACAATATATTGAAAATGACTGTTGTGATTGCACGGAACCAAATAAAAATAAAATCTACTGTCAAACTTTGATGACCACCTCAACGTAATGAAATATACGATCTACCAACCCGAATGATCTCACTCTGATTTCGATTCATGAAAAATCAATAACTCGTTTTATCTAATTGAAACTAATTTCGACTGAAGTGAAATAACCTAGTTGGAAGTTTAATGTGACTTATTTCCATTAACTAAGTACATCTAGTCAAGCATAACAGTCAGGCAAAATATAAACTGGTTGAATTGACATGGAGATCTGATTAACAGCTAAATCAATCCTAATGAAGAAAACATCAGTGACCTTTGAATCTGTCAAATAAAGTTTACCATTATGTTGAGTTAATTACTTTAGTAAGCTTAAAACAAACAAGACCAACGCTAATAACTAAACGAAAAAATAATTACTACTTAGTGAACGACCGGTGTATAGTACATGTTCAAGTAGTTTAAAGATAGGCTTCCTTGATCAATTTAACTATCTACCAGTCAACTAAAACTTTTAGACATCTCAAAAGAATTTGGAGTTATTAAATCGGGTTACAATTCCATGTTACTACAAGACACATTGATAATGATCATATATCATACATTATCAACCATTATTTAAATAAATTGTTTGTACTGAATACCGAAAATAAAACAATTAGCCTAACTGATTTATTGTAATGTCATTATGGATGAAAAGAACATTAAAGGATGGCAATATCATTTGAAGACGCCTATTAATGTCAAAAATATTCGAACCGAAATTGTAATTTATCACTTGAAATAAAAAGATTGTTCACTTGTTTGTTCTGATGAACAACAAGATAATAAGACATTGTATTTTATCTGTGATATAATTTAGCATTTAAGTAACTACTATTCATTAGATCATGAGTGCTTGTTTCATTCACAGTAAGCACCAATTTGAAACTTCGATTAACATGATATAGATAGTGTAGTATAGACAGGCATATACAACTTTTCTAGGATAAAGTATTTTTCCCGAAATAGTCCACAATAACTAAAGTTTAATAAAATAATAAAAGCATATCGTTTAAACTTTATTGTTCCTTTTAACATCAGCATGAGTATGAAGATACAAGAGACATGACAGAAGTAAATAATATTCAGATGCAAAACAATGAAGAATATGATAATGGTTAAGAGGGAAAATATGTCTGAAAGTAGGGGGAGATAGTTGAACCTGATATTACTAAGCTGAAGGATTCAAAAAGATGTAGCAATAATGAAAGCCCTGAACTAATTATCAAGGTAAATGGTTTGTATGGTTTACAAAATGGAAAATTCAAACTAATCTAAGGCTGTCTTAATTTAATTTCCCAGTAAAATTAATTAACTCATAATTGAGAATATCATTCTCTGAATAAAATATACAATCTAATGAAATTGATCACTTTAAAATATACTGAATTTCATGTAACCGCTACAAAGGTTTGATTGTATAATCAGGACTATCTTACCATTTGTTGTTGATCACACGATGTCCAATAACTTGTATAATCATCTTTCTTACATGGAGGACGTGGACTACAACTTGAAGATCCATTACCTTTAATTGTTAGAAAGTGAAACATTTTATCAAACATTTATGAATAAAAATCAATAAAAAACTTAGTTTCATCTATGCTATACCAAACATTCTAATTTATTCACTCATCAAGTTCCATGTATAAAGAGAATAAAATATCAAAGCAAACTGTTTACGAAATTTCAATAATAATGATTTAATCTTATGTAATTTTCCACACTTGACTGTTGATTTCATATCATTACAATAGATGATTCGATCATCAATCAGTTTTTGAATGAATAAAATTCATTTAATTGAAGTAATTTTTTGGACTAGAATTTCTGTCGCCTTAAAATGATGTCAGTTTATTAACGGTAAACAATTAATTTAATAGTTGAATTCATGAGTCAATTGAAGCTAGACCACCATAGGAAACCTAGAAGCACTTGACCGTCATTTCCTCCTAATGTGGGATACCTCAGAAGAGCACATCCACAATCCCGCCTCACGAGATTTGGAACCAAGAACTACCGGTCTCACGCTCGAACGCTTAACCTCTAGACCACAGAGCCGGCCGGCATCCAACAGTGTTAGTGTCTAACTTCAACCAATCCACAAAGTTGCACCACCGTCCACCAATTGATTATCAAATTATCATTGATATAACTGTTAAAATTTTAATCATTAAAATTGACGATATTTCATCTTTATCTACTTCAAAGTTATATTTGACGTTGTTTGCATACATAATGTTTTTGAATCGAACTTATTGAATGTGTTCAAAAAATGTTAAGATTGATCTAATGAAATGATTAGTTGTCTATCCGTTATTATTCATCATTGTTGCCACTTTGTTGTATTTAATTTATTTGAAGTATTTTTAGGATTAAGCTATTAATTACATTTGAATAGTCATTTGGATATGAGTTACTTCAATGTTTAATGATTATAATCAAGAACTATGAGAGGAAAAATGACTGGTTTAAACAAACAGAGTTTGGCCATAAATATGAATGTTTATATATATATATACAAAATCCTTGAAAATATGGTGAAAAATTAATTTATCATAATGTCAAATAATCAACAGGAATATAATATCTTTAACCGTGATAAAAACCAAGAATATATAAACGATGAGTGCACCAACGAAGCAACACTAACATTTTCGTCTTACATTAGTTTATCCACAAAAAACTTTTATTTCTCTTGAATTTTTATTGCTAGATGAATAAAATTGATCATCAAAGAAGTTCTTGCCATCTTGAACTTTTTACAGCTTCAAAGTGGAACACACAACAGTTCGTTATTTCGGTGATTGTATTTCAGCAGCAATTAGGTGAAATCTAAACTATATGAATATCTAGATGCAATTCTTTTTGATTTTAATACGATTTCAGTTAATCGTGAAACATTATTTACTTGCTCAAATTTGACAAATGTTACCTCAAAACTCATCTGTATATAGTAATTAACCGTAATGACGCAATATATTTGGTAGATGTCATATTATTCATTACAAACATACTCAATGATCTTACACTAAATAAAATGAAAATTATTTAAGTGAATTAGTTCATTGATACTATCTACTGAAAAATATTTCAAGATTCTTCTAGAACAACGTTCTTTATTATGAGTTAATGGTTTCATGCTACTGTACTCAACTTTTGTATTTTAAGCTGTAGGTTTAGATAATTCTGTCCTCACTCTGACAATCGAATATAAATCAATTTACACTGAGACCGAGTAATTCTTGAAAGTTTTGAATTCAATCGTGAATATATAAGAAAAAATCAGCTGAGTTTACTTATTAAATAGTTTTACTGTTTACGTAAAGAAGCTATTTACTTTTAATTAAAAATTCATCAATCAGTTTTTGCATAAATATGCATAAAATTTCACAATCTAGTCAACTTGTCGAGAATTTTAGAAAATCTCTTTAAATAAGACACAAATAATGACAATAATTAAACAAATGCATTTGATGACGTTTATTCCATTTTTTATTATTTTCATACATGAATAAAAACTAGTTGTCATGTTGACAAAATATTTAAAAATCATTCATAATGGTTACTTATATAAAAGTAATTATGGAAAGCTTTATGAAAAATGTGTAGTCATTTTAAATAAAATAATTATTTTTTTATTGATTTTTATTAGGAAAGATGTTAACAATTCTGTTTATTTCATAAAATAGTTTAAAATCAATAAAATTAAGCAGTTGCTAATGACAACACAAATGTACATTAGGTATGCAAAACATATTCTCATTAGATTGACATATCTAGTCATTTAAATAAACAAAGTAAACATTCTGTGATTATATTAATTTGATTAAAGTATTTGTTTTGTTTCATTGGTTATAAACTAGAGAGGCGGTTTCGTTATGAAGTGCACTCGGTTTTCTATCGGTTAGTCACATGTTTAAGTCCTATTACACCAAATCTGATTTGGGCACCCCAGTAGTATTAGTAGACTTCAAATGAACCGTACGGCTAAAGGCTAAGTACATGAAATCCATATTTAGTGAGTTACATGTATTTTGAGACCTTATTAGATAAATGAGTTTAAAATAAAACCTAGTAGCAACCAATTTCATGTTTGTCCAACTCATAGTAAGAATTGAATTCCATCGATTAAGTCACAAATTAGCAACTGATTAAGGTGCATCTGATTTAATTTTAATTGGCTTAAGCCTTTCGAGAGGAAGATTTGTTAGTGTTGATTCTCTCCAATCAATTAATATTAAACTTCTTCATTGGTCTCTCTGGTTTACAATATTTCCCTTCTAGTTTCTTCCTTGTGTCATATAGTTTTTCATATTGTCTACTCTTGCAGCTTTCTCGACAGTCGTTGTCAGGTCTTCCATGTATTTCTGCCTGTCAGCTCCAATGCTTGTCTTTACTCGCTCGTTTGTTTCTGTGTATTCGGTTTGTTCCTCGACGTTCTCATTTCTTGTCAAACTGTTGTTAATTGTTGTCTCTTTGTTCCTCCATTCTTGAACACTTACTGGGATATCGATAGAGATTCATTCTTCATGACAGTGCTTGGTGCAGTCCAGCACATGACACTTTAAAGTTAGAGCTTCTTTACTCCCTTTCCATTTGTTCTCCGTATTAGTTTCTTCTTTTTTTGAGTAGGTCTTGTAGGGCTTTGGACCTGTTGCTGAAAACTATCTTGAATTCGTTGAGTTTGTCGGTATCTCAAAGAAAGACTGTATTAAACTTTTGTAATATTGTTTCCCCAGTTGACCAGTGCTTTTATAACTTGACTTTCATCTTGATAATCACTAACTGGTGAGTTGAAGCTATTAGATCTCCTCTCTTGGTTCACATGTCTTTCACTGACCTTCAGAATCTTTAGTGACACAAATATCAACGGTTTGGTTCTGTGTAGTGTGATCCGGTAAAACCCATGTAGCTCTGTGTGCGTGTTTGTAGGCGAATATAGTGCCACACATGACAATTTTGGTAGGGCGCATATATTTACAAACCTCTCTCCGTTTTCTTTCCTTTCTCCTAGTCTATGTCGTCCCATGTTATCTTCGTTGACATTATTAGCGAGTTCATGGCACTGGATAACACTCATTGTAATCATCTTTCTCTTTGTTTTAGAGGATACTTTGATGGTTCAAGATCTATGAGATTCCCATCGTATAAGTGCTCTTCGTGCTCATATGGACAGCATCAGTGCAACTCTTTGTTTTTGCGAGGCATTCTCTTCTTCATGACCAAAGTACAGAAGCACCTATCCTGGAGCTTATCTTTTCTGTCCAGCTTGGGTCCAATGGGTTTCACTTATTCTAAACACTACCAAGTTGTATCTCTTCATTTTCGCATCTATTTTATTGTTCCTCCTGGTCTACCACATTGTCCGGACATTCCATTTACCTACATTAGCTATTACTCTGGTTGTCTGAAGAGACATCGACCCTGTAAATCCCGAAGAGTTTCGGCTTTCACTATGAGGCAGCACAATTCTTCTGAACGAAGATCCTTCAACGCAGAAGGCTGAGCATAAATGGTTTAAATTGCTTTTCTGGTTAGCGTTTTCTTTAGCAAAGCTTTTTCCTACAGAATGTAGTTTGTGACCCCATGCCCTACCCTCCTCCTTTATCCTGGCTTTGGACCGGAAGTAAGTCTAGGAGAGCTATATATGGAGTTAAGAATAGTCATGATAAATTAGATGTTCAGATTTAGGTTTCATTTTAGCAAGGATATTTGAAATAGGTACGATGACACATTTTTGAACCAAGTATTAGTTTACTAGCATACTTTCTGAACAAGGATTAGGGTTTCAATGTATATTCTAGATTTTGGAAAGTTTTTTCATATTATAAAATGTTAACAACTTAATGAGAAGAAGAAGTAATTCTACATTATGAACAATCTGAGTTCTTGCATATTTTCAAGGTACTTCTTTTGAAAACTAGCAAAAACCAATGAAATATAAAATAGCTAAACGAAAATCACAAGACAAGCATAATTTAGCATATGGAGAGAATAACAAATAGTCACATGAACAATGGGATTAGATTAAACTTAAAAAAGTCATTAAGACAGATTCAAAATTAGAAACGCTTATCATTGAATGCATTAAAAAGTGACTGAAATTTTCTAAAGACTAGGACTTCTATAAGCCTAAGGATGCACACTAATACAATATTTCTTAGGATTTAAAAATTGCAGTTAATTAAATCATACCACCTATTTCAGTTATCTACCTTTCTGTGAAAAATTATGATTATCTGCCATGTTCAATTATTTCAGAATTTGGTTTTAATTTATTGCAAAGTCATCTTAACACATACCATTTTGATTTCTTATTGATGAATGATTTTACTGCTCAGAAACTATGTAAATGATGTTAATCAGACAACAGAACACTTCAACTCAATGGTTTTAATTACTAGTTTGTTTCATTTCAAACAAAACATAGTTCTTAGCACATTATTCAGTTAGCAGTTGGGTATAGTCAATTTGGTACAGATCTCTTTTTGTGACTAAACATCAAAATGTATTTCTAAAATTTTTTTTACTAATGAATCCTTTGTGCTGTCTAACAAACTTTAATAGCCAACAAACCTCTCTAACTCATCAGTGAATTTCGCAATAGCGATTTCGAGGGCTATTGACAAGCTTCTACGAAACCTCTTAGTGCATGAAAAAAATCCTGGGAGTAACCTATTTCCACTCCGAAAAATGAGATTCCGTTGAGGTATTGTTAAAACATTAAAGTCGAAAACAGATTTTCAACCTTGTATAACTAACAAGCTTCCTAAGACCAATATACTAGTAAATGCTTCATCGTTCCTCAAGCGAGCTAATTCTGATTGAAAAATGGTTTCGAGATGGACTATTATTGTTGTTAAAAACTGCAAATGATCATTTTCTTTTGGTATTTCTGTATCCTGAACGGACTGCTTACTGTTGCAGCCCTGAACAAACCCTTTAAAAATTGGAGCGAAATATTCAAACAGACGGTAAATATTTGAGCCAGTAGTGTAAATATCAGAATCTAATCAAAAAACAATTTTTCAGAAATATAAAATCACCGATAGGAAGTATGTATGATAGGCTTTGTTTCGAAATATCGATTAATAATTCTGTCTTAATACGATGAATATTGACTCAGTAAATTCAATAACCATCATCGTATTAAATTAACATGTTCATACACGCTTGAATTAATACATAAACTTAACCAATTGGGTATATAATATAATGTATATGGGTGTCTTATTATTAAGAATTTTAAACTAATTATTACTATATGGATTATCAGTTAACTGCAAAGATGCCCCATCTTTTATTCAAGAAGATTTGTAAGCAAGAACAAGTGCCAACACACTGCAAAGAGGAATACCGCACCAACATACCAAAGAAAAGAGATCTGAGCAAATGTGAAAAATACAGAGACATCACACTACTGCCAGTACCAGGAAAGGTTTCCAAGAGTGTTCCTGAACTGGATGAAGGATTTAGCAGACGACCAACTTCGTTATCAGCAGAACGGATTCCGTAGAAATCGATCGTGCACAGACCGAATCGTGACACTATGGATCATCGTTGAGCATTCAGTCGAATGGAATTCGTCACTGTACATCGCTTTTCTTGATTATGAAAAAGCATTTGCGAATGTGGATATGAGGACCTTATGTAGCTTTGTTTGACATCACGGTGTATCCGAGAAGATCGTCAATATGATCCGCAATTGATACAATAGACTACACTGTGAAGTTGTGCGCGGAGGACAGCTCTTAGATGCATTCTAAGTGAGGACCGATGTCAGACAAGGCTGCTTACTCTCCCCCCTTTATATTTCTTCTAGTGGTCGACTAAGTTATTATGACCTCCACATCTGTCGGGAAGGACGGAGTTGATATGATGGAAAGAAAAGCCAATTTTCGATTGATTTACTAATTATGAGTTTTGTTCAAAATTACTTCCGTTCTGAGTCAATCTGATGATCATTCAGTTTAGTATTTGATTTGTTTTCTCGTATGATATTTTATTCTATATAATATACGATATTCTTGTATTCAGTTGACATGAACTATGCTCAGTATGTCATTTGCATAACTAAGTATTTTTCATCTATGTGATTTCATCCTAATTATTAATCAAAATGGGTGTACAATCAATACATAAATGAGTGCATTTTAGACTAGGGTCATCATAGTGTTTTGGAGCTAATAAATCGTCACTTACGCCAGTCTTATGTTCTTACTTTCGCGTCGTGGGAATTGCGGAGGTCCCTTCGTTCCGAGTATAAGTGATCAGCGTTTTCCGACACAACAATCAGCGATGACCAGATGCAACAGGAATACAACAGACAGTTTGGATGCAACTGAACGATATGGACTCAGTAGATGACCTAGTTCTTCTATCCTATACACATCAATAAATGCAGGTCAAGACAGTAGGTCTCAACACACAAGGGAAAAAGTAAGACCTTGAAATGCAACACAGAGAACACCAACCCAATCATACTTGATGGAAAAGCTCTTGAATAAGTGCAAACTGACGTACCTGTGTAGCCTGATTGATAAACACGGAGGATCCGATATAGATGTGAAGGCAATATTCCCACAAATTAAAAGTACATAGAACTCAAAACAACCGTCAGCCAACACCAAAGCTACAGCTTTCAATACGAACGTCAAAACAGTTCTGCCGTACAGAGATGAAACTTGGAGAACTACCACAACCACCATCAAAGAAGAACAGGTATTTATAAACGATTTTTTAAACAAGATACCGAATGTTCACTGGTCAGATACTATTAGAAACAATCTACCGTGGGAGAGAACAAACCAACTTCCAACTGGATAGGAAATTAGTAAAAGGCGTTGGAAGTGGATAGGACATACGTTGAGGGAATCACCAGGCTGCATCACGAGGCAATTGACAACTTGGAATCCTGAAGAGAAAAGAAAAAGAGGAAGACCGACAAACACACTGCGTCGAGAATTTCAAGCAGATATCAAAGACGAATAGAAACGGGAGACAACTGTAAATGATTGCAGAATACAGAGTTGGATGGAGAATACTGATGAGCGGTCTATGCTCTTCCACGAGAGGTAACAGGCGTTAGTAAGTAAGTAATATAACCCGTCGTGATGTTGAATAGTCATACAACTTTACGGCTACCTATTTGAGCTTTTCAGAAGAACAAAATCAAGTTAACCATTTCTACTTAACCGGTAGACATGACAGCGAGTATAATCTATAGTTACCTGAATACTGATCTGCTGGACATGATTTACATGATTCGGCTCCTTCAGCTGAATATGTGTCTCTTGGACATAACTCACAACGATTAGCTTTTTCCCGTGGTCCAAAACTACCAGCTGCACATGGCGTACATACAGTCACTGGTGGAGTTCCAGTTAAACGAATTTCTTTAATATGTAATTGAGGATCTTTTAATCCATACAATTGTTGTATATAAACATTTTCAACAAGTAAATACCATTGAAGAATATTATGGCCAACTGGAACGCTGAATGTTACAGTTTCATATGCGTACGATCCGGTAAGACCTAAAAGAAAACTCCCACCGGGTAATTGTGTACATCGTTCATTTCTTATCTGAAAAATAAAATATAACCTTGATAAGTGAACTAATACTTTGTCAAATCATTACATCATCCTGGTTAAAACTTCAGAAATATTTAAGTCGTCAATTAAAATGAATGATTTCTTTTAAAAAACATGATTAATTCAAACATCTATTTTATCATCATTCAATAGAGATCACCATAAAATAACTGAGAATTCAAAACGATTATATACTTGTTTTGCAAATTGAAAATATAAAATTTCATCTAATAAGACATTTAAAGTGATTGATCCTGAATAGTTCAAAACTAGAACTACACATCTATTCACTACATATTGACTATTAGTTAAATTTCTTTAACACAAATATATGTTCATCAAGAAAAATCATCTGACAGATTGATTGGTTTAAAAATTACCGGTGACTGATATCCAGAATGTAATTCTATTTGCTATTTTTGACTGAAGAATTTATTTAATATTTACAAGTAGATTAATTAGTTTTATTGTTTAATAGTTGAATCCATGAGCCGATTAAAGCTAAACCATCTTAGAAAACCTGGAAGCACTAGATGGCCGTTTTGTCTTGGTATGAAACTCATCAGCAATGCTTTAATTGACTCATGAACTCAACTAACAGATTACTACAATCTCCACAAAACCTTTTTCTGATAATGAATATCATGTGCTCTCTAGTATCTGGCTTTAAGAGGTATTTCCTGGAGATCTAGTGACAAGCCGTGATCAGTAGTGTTCAACCGTGTAAGTTGTGAGGCATTGTCTTACTGAAGACAATGGATAAATTTTTGCTCGAGATCATGGATTGGTTGAAGTTAGACATTAGTAGCGTTGGGATGACGGCTCAGTGGCCTAGAGGTGAGACGTTTGCGCAGGAAAATTTAGGTTCTGGGTTCGAATCATGCGAGTGGGACCGTGGATGAGCACTGCTGAGGAGTCCCATACTAGGAAAGAGTTTTCGTTCGATAGTTTCAGGTTTTCCATGGTGGTCTAGCTTTCATCGACTCACGAATTCAACTATTAAATTACTAAAATTTCCACAAACCCCCTTTACGATAATTTCGATATAACACTGTAATTTTTAAAGCGTACGTATTTTTAAAAAAAAACAAATCTAGATTTCAGAACAAACATTTCGTCATTATTCATTAGTTTCCATTAATTTATCTTCATTCAGCTGATTGATTAGACTTTCAATGTTGTTTGATCTGGTTTATGGCACCTGATATTTCGTTTTTTCGACTATCTAATCATATAGAATAGATGATCAAAAATTATCAAGATAAAATCAATAGACATTTTTTAAAAGAACTTTAATAAGAAACATAAATCCATTGAATTCTTAATTTTGTACTGAATTCTTGCTTTCATTAAATCAATGTTCGAAATAAAACATTTAAATCTGAAGGTCACTTCTTCCAAGAAAAATTACATCTTATTCTATAATGAAGTAATAATGATAAACTTAATTACTCAAATCAAATTCATATCAAAATAAATTGTTTTCAATCTATACAACATACTTTAAATTCAATGTTTATATATAAATATAAACAAAGAAAACAATCGCAATATATAAAAACAATAAATTCACCCTTATATTATGAATATTCATAGCTAGAAAATAATTGCATAGAATTTATTTAAAGTACCCCCAAATCCCATGGTATGGCCGAGGGTGGGGAAAGCCAGCTCTCCCTCTTGAAATGCTCCCACATGGCCACGTGCATACAACCACTAACAGGGAAGTCCTACTGACTGCTTTCTCGCGGCTGGGGTGTTGTTTACGAAATCGAGAGGATGAAAAGAGAATGTTCGGGGCTTTAGCCGGGATGATAGACACGGAGAGTCCATCTAGGGGAGTTGGAAAACCCTGATTCCAAACCAATGGTACACATGGGCTCCAGTATCCTGAAGGAACAAATGGCGTATGAACCAATCGTTGGTCACCGGCTACCATGGGACTGCATCTCCTTACGATGCTCCACTGCCGTGTGAATCAGACCTTCAGGTCGAAGGCTCGGGGTGTGACTCCCTGAGAGAACCACCTACTTCGGTTCGGGCACCTGGGCAGTCCCCGAGCCCTCACACAAGTCGAATAGTTTATGTATCGCATATCTATTTGCTTTCTCTTCGTACTAATGTTTATGTATTTAAATAAAATAAAATTTAAGATACAGGTTCAGATATAAGTTGGATTTTAAAAATGTGCCTTTCTTCATAATTAAACTGTTGTCTAGTCTTTAAAAATTCCTTCATATTTTAGGATAACTAAAATTACGGATAATCAATAATAAAAAGGAGATTTTTCTAAATAATTTCTTCATCTTGTTAAGCAACGTGTCAGTATTGTATACTCATTAATCCTTAAAGAGATGGAATTCAGTACATTGATAAAGATTTATGTCCATGTGTCATAATTGAATAACAGGGTTGGAGCTTGGTGGTTGTTATTTTACGTTTGATGCGCACACATAATATAATGTTATGTTTATCTAATCTTAATAATATTTTTCTGCTCTTACACACATCTTCTAGATCACTTACTTTACAGATTATGACCTCAAGAATTAATTCTTCAAATGATGTTGTTAGTTTACGTTGAGTGATTATTCATAATGAGCAGACATGTTATGGCCCGCTTAAACTTAGTCCCCTCCTTTAACTGTAATTACTTGGTAAACTACCGATATACACAACATTATAAGTCAATATAAATCATTTATAAATAGCACTGTATCGACAAATTTGAAATATCGATGTCGGAATAATTCAGTCGCTTGCAAGTTTATTATCCGGTTAAGTATATACGACCAAGCCGGTAGATTATACAACCGTATTTTAAAATATAAACCCCGTTCAGAACTATTTTTCTTTCAGATAATAAGTTTTGGAGAAAGAAAGTGAGTTTAGTTTGAGAACGTTAGCTAACAACTATTTTCAACTCTAAACAATCAGAGCCACAAGCAACGCAAAGTCAAGATAACAAATTCATGAAACGAGTATATATATATATATATATATATATATATATATATATATGCATCACACATTTATTACTCACAATAAAGAAGGCCAATGCTCCATATTCTTCGATTTGATATGTAAACGTGATTGTTCCGGGCTTAAGATTATGAACTTTCATTGAAAGTATCACAGTGCAACTGTCTGTTGTTTTTCCAACTAAGTATTTACCCTGTGGAGACCAACCAGTTCTAAGAACAAAATATAATAAATTTAAAGCACTTTAAATATTAGCTATGCACTTTAATGTGAATCAGTTTGTACAATCGCAATACGGAAATCATATACAGACCGATTTGCATTATCTTAGTTAAATGGTGGCCAAGATGAAATCAAACTATTGTTTTGTAAACAACAGGCAAACCTGGTCAGTTTATCTGGTTTTTAAATGTCTACAGTTAAAGATCCGTCCGAAGAACATTTTGTCATCATTATCACTTGTTTTGCTACGTCCTATTTAGTTAATTAAATGCTTTTATTAACAACTCTTGGTAAAGCTTGTTCACTAAATATTTCACAAAATTCTCATCACGTTCTAAATAATAGCTGACTTAAAATGTTCTTATGTTTCCTATTCCATTTACTCTTATGAATATTGTTGATTGCAACAAGTCGAATAAATTCACTAAACAAATCTGGACTAACTGGCTGTATAGGTTGATAAGCCTGGAGAGGAAATCAAAAAAACAAGTGAGTTATGAAATGTGAGATCTAAAAATGAAAACGATCTTGGAAGCATAATCAATTTGAAAATATAAATCAGTTCAACCAAAGCACTGATGGCTTTCTTTTGAAGTCCGAAATTAGTCTCAAAACATCTTAAAAACATTTTTCATTCTGAAAGCAAGAAACTTAAGTAAAAACAGCATAGTCCAGAACAATAAGTCAATAACAATTGGGCATTTATTTCAAGAGGTCTGAACAAAAATGAATATCTGTCAATGTTGTCAACAATTTTATACAAAATATGAATCTTAGAAGTGATTAAACAATTTCCCTGGTAGGCTTGGATTACTGTCTTCTCCAAACACGTAATGCGTTTTTTAGTTCAAATTCAGAACATCAAGATTAAGTAACTCCCAATCGACTACCAGTAGACTTATGGACTGATTCTCAAAATTCTGCAAATTTGTCTTCAGTTATCTATAGTTTTACACAGTCAGATACATAGTTGTACACTTTCACTTGCCCCGTAACACGATATTTGTAGCAGATAATTCCACAAAACTATTAATTTTTAGGCCACTTACAGCTTTAATGTGACTTGAATATGATGAAATCAGTACTCATTAAAACAATTAGAGAATTATATTAAACAGACTCCCGAATATTCACAAACACAAAGAGAAAGCTAAGCGCAATAAACTGAAGCAAATTTCGGGATTTAAAATCTCCTAATTCTAGATTAAAACACTTCATTCAAGTAAGGTAATTTTTGCAATCAACATATTTTAACAACAGTTGCTAAAACCTCCCCCCTAGTGTTATAATATATACATGATTAAAGATTTAAAAAATGGAACAGCAGTCAAAACTGGCATATCTTTGTTAAAAATTGTGCAGAAGAGCTATATCAGTGTGGTTATAATATTTAATTTGCTTGAAAATTATGTCGGTAAAATATGTTTCTGCGATGATAATGGGTTGTAGGCAAAAGATTGTTGAAATATTAAACGCAAAAACTTTGATCAAAGCAATTACGCTGAATGTATATTTGAGCTTTTCGATTGTCATCACTTTACAAGCAGAACAGTCAAATTTGCTAAATTATTCCAGGGCAGTTTTCATGGCCGAGTCTCACTAAAGGCTGATTAGTAACAAAGTCAAAGACACTCAATAGCACTCGAATCAAGTAGTCAATCTACCCATAAAATTCTTTGCCATCGTATAAAATTAGACGTACATTTTGATAAAAGATTAAATAAATTTGAATAAAACGGTTTTAAGGTGTCCAATAAATTTTAAAAGTGTCAACTTAAGACTGATACAAAATCCTTTCAAAATGAATATTCAAATAACAAAATAATAACTTGCCTGAAACACGGCTATAACTTGCAACCTGATCATAATAAGTAAGTGCCATTATAAGTAGCTAGTTTAGTGATGATATACATTATATATTTTGTATTTGTAAGTTTCTACTTACCATAATACGTTATTATAATAGATCAGAAGTTTTCCCTCTACTCCCAGTCTTTGCATTTCATCTTATCATCATAAAATTCTGTCATAATGAGTAAGTAAAAATGCTTAGATTTACTTCCTAATTCTGTTCCATAAAACGTGGGTCAAACACAACTTAAAAAATGTAGTGCCTGAGCTTAACCTGTACTTCATCATAAATAAACTAAACTTTCATAACGAATTCGTAGACATGTAGTATGCACAAAACTATGGAGCTGGTTGTAAAGTAAGTCATATAATCGACTGCACAGAACTGTAAATACCCATTTATGTAGTTTTTATTGACATCCTTAGTGAACTAAAAACTGAAAATTTACATTACAGTCAAGTATATACAAGTTACATTTGACGCGTGTAGAATTGAAGTTAAATTATGTAAAAGAGGGGCCACTGGTCATCTTTTTATGGCAATTAAATGCTACATATTTTTTTCAAGTACAATTTTCATAAATAAAGCATGAAATAAAGAAGGATTTGTTAAAATATATCAACATTTAGATTTCAAAAACCTACAAGTTGCATTTTTCATTGGATGAACTTCCATAAGTTGTATCAGAGGTCAAAAAGTCTGGCATCGAGTCCCATTTTGTTACTTCAAGCATATCACCTGTTGAATATGTTCCGGATGGACAGACCTCACAGCTCTGTGACAATAAGTTAAGATGCATTCCACTTGGACAAGTTGTTTCTGGAAAAACTGAAGCAACTTTAAAACATTCTTACCACAATTGTCTACTTTTCTCGGTAAACTCAAGCTGTTTAGGTCACATTCTCTATCATCCTTTGGTATTTTGAAAAGCCATCTATTTCCAGAAGTATCACAGCTTGTGCTCTTTACTTGTAAGTCACTCTACAAGAATTAAGTTAAAAATATGCAGGGCAATTACTTCTCGACATGATTGTGAGTAAATAAAGCTCATAAAGAACGAAAAATATATAAGGCGTAAAAGCATCATTGGACAAATAAACGCTCATTTAATGTTTATCAGTATATAGATAATTAGAACAACAAAACAAAAGCCTCTAGTTTGAAGAAAGACATACACCTAATACTTGGGGTAAATCTTTAGAAATACATATTGTAAATATTCATCCGGTTAATTGTCGTCATTAAATATTTTTATTTAATTGCGCGCTATCTAAAAGAACAGTGGTATTGTTTCTCGTTGAGTTAGTTAACTGTTTTGACAGTAAATTACGCATCAAAACTATTGTTTGCACTTTAATTGAACCTTCTCCCTTTAAAGTGATATTGTATTGAGTGTTTTAAATTTGCTTTTGTGCATTTATTGCATCGAAGCATACTTGGTCAACCTTTACTTGATTAATTTAGTCAAGGTTTTAGAATTCTTTTACATATCCTGTTTGTATCACCATTGTAGTTGATTTTCAAGATGGCCAAATCCGCTCATAAATTTGGACAACCATATCGCTTATTCCCCGTGGAGGAAGGGATGCAATGTGACAAGTGTAATAAGTGGTTCCACAAGATGTGCACCCGATTAAGCCCCGCTGCATATAAAAGGTGCTCGAAGCCCAACTTTCATTGGCTTTGTAGTTATTTTTGCTCAAGCAAAACATCACTCATCCAGGGAGCAATTAGCCTCCTGGTGTTTGCTGTACTGGCAACATTGGTACTGATGGCGAAGATTGCGGTAGTGTTGTAAGGGCTGTCACGACGCACGTCAGACATCTAACTGTGCAATCCAAAATTTAAATTTCTACTCCGAAACAATCGATGAGTGACACCTCATTAGATATTGGTGGCCATGTTGCTACAGCAGCAACTGGTGATCCAGATAAAACAATTACTCTCCCGAGTAGTTCTAATGTAGATTCTACGACTGATGGAATATGGATGACGTGGAAACTCAGGATAGTAGGAAAGACAGCTAAAACTAAAACTAATGACTGTTTACTTGATAAGTCCTTGGTGGACTCTCAGACCACTCCGCCAAAGTCCCAAAGTAAAACCTCTTCAAACATTGTTATGAGTCACTTGCTCGACTCCAATGACTTTGTTACATTAAAAACTAATCGTAAGGTACCAGTAGTTAATGGACAGGATCTAGGGTCACGATCAATAGTTGTAAACACGATTCCAAAAGAAGCTAAACCACTCCCTGGTTTAATTATTTGGAATCTAGGGGAGTCGATAGACAATGACCTTGCTAAGAGACATGCACATGATCTGAAGTTAGTGGAATCAATGGTAAGAAACGTGCTACCTGAAGAGGTTACAGGGGTACATATCACGAAAGTGATACGAATCGGTAAATAGGTTTGAGGAGAGACCCAACCAAGAAGGATCTTCAAGTTGGTTCTCGGAAATTTTGAGGAAAGAGATATATTATTGAAAAACGTACAAAAAATTTCGTGATTCAAATATTCGTATCCGATCAGATTGGCCGCTTGACGATCGGATCAAGTGGAAGAATGCTCTTACGGAGTTGAGAAATCGCAAGTTAAATGGCGAAACTAACCTTGCCATTAAGGGTTTTCGGGTAGTCAGGTCTTGGAAGCCATTGCTTCCGAGGCCTGTATGGGTAGAACGAATGATTTCCAAAACACCTTAAGTGTGTGCTACACAAACGTCCGTAGTCTTAGGAATAAAACGTCCGAGCTAAGTCTGATGGTGGATGAATTAATTCTGGATATAATTGTTGTTACAGAACCTTGGTTCACCGTAGATATAGAATGTCCTCCCATCATTGCAGGCTATATCTGTATTAGAAGTGATAGAGTTTTAAGCCGAAAGGGGGGAGGCATAATGTTATACATTAGGGACCACTTTCGTATACAATCAATCATATCGGAGGCTCATGTTAGTGGTACATGTGAGGTAACATGTTGTAAGATTAAATCCAGAAATGGATTAGTGACTATAGGGGGAATATACCGTAGTCCGTGTTGTCTTGCTGACGACTTTATCCTAAGACACATCTGTTCTTGGAGTATGGCAGAATGTTGTCTCATTATTGGGGACTTCAACGCGCCGCACGTCAACTGGATAGAGCTTACGGCTCCAAATGGAGGTTTTGATAGTGAACTTTTATCAACCGTTATTCAGTTCACTTGTTCAATGTATCACTAAACCGACACATATTGATTTGAAACTTGATCAGTCACTTCTGAACCTCCCTCTCACCCACCACTGTGAGGATGCCTTTGATATTCAGCACCTCCCACTAGTGAACAGTGATCATGTCGTACTTCACTTTAAGTTTAGGACAGATGGTATACGATTTGTATCTGCTCCACCCCGTCCCAATATCTGGCGGGCTAATATTCCGGCAATCACAGACTGTGCTATCTCGACTGATTGGTCGGTTGACGTAGGTGAATCGATCGGAGACAAATGGAATAAGTTTAAGGCTACATTCGAGTCCGCAACGTCCCGTTTATCCCATGGCCAGCACGTAAGCTATCGCATTGCCCTCCATGGATTAATAAGGAAACCCGGAAGCTATTAAAGCGTAGGAAACACTTCGGGGACCTATTCTTGTTGACAGGTCATGCAACATTTAAGCGTGGTCACCCAGAACTCCGGAATATTTGTAGGAAAACTATAGCTAAATCCCGTACTACATACGAACGGCAGTTGGTATATGATAGCCGTACTTGTCCGAAACTACTGTTTTCGTATGTTAAACGGCGAATGAAACGTATTGATGGTATTCCCCCGTTATTGTTACACGATAATTCAGATTTACTAGCTGAATCAGATCGGGCTAAAGCTGAGACTTTTTCGAACTATTTTAGCGAAGTCTACTCTACGTTTATTGTAATAAATACTTTTCCCAATCACACTGAGATACCAGCCATTGAATCTGTACACGTGACTGAGGAAACTGTCCTTCCGTTGCTAACGAACCTCAAACCTTGTAAGATACCGGGTCCTGACGGGTTACGTTCACGGTTGCTGTCATCTCTTGCGGACATTGTTTCAAAACCGCTCGCGACACTCTTCACTATGTCACTTTCACTCGCCCAACTCTCTAGGGATTGGAAAGATGCTATTGTCAGTCCTATATTTAAGGATGGTCAGAGACAGATCGTATCTAACTACCGGCCTGTCAGTCTAACCAGCATTGTCGTTAAGTTACTTGAAAAGATATATCGGATTAGGTTGATAAGCCACATAGATTCACACAATATGTTGGCTCCTGAGCAACATGGATTTCGTGACAAACGTTCATGCTTGACTAACTTACTTATTGCGAGAGAGGATTGGACAGCAGCCTTAGATAAAGGTCTGTCTGTCGATGTTATATTCATAGATTTTAGCAAAGCATTTGACAAGGTTCCACACTTAGGTCTTATGCAGAAGCTCACGAGCTTTGGAATAATAGGTACTGTACAGGAGTGGATAGGAAACTTTTTATGTGACCGCAGACAGAGAGTGAGGGTCAATATGACGCTTTCCGATTGAAAGCCGGCCAAAAGTGGTGTACCTCAAGGCACTATCTTAGGCCCTCTGCTCTTCCTTCTCTACGTTAACGAGTCACCATTGTTGCTTAGGTCGTCGACATTATTATTTGCGAATGACGTAAAAATCTGGAGAACGATGAAAACTGAGGCTGATCATCTGGATCTTCAAGCTGACTTAGACGATTTAGTTAGATGGGCTGGAAGTTGGGGCTTAGAAATCAGTTATAGGTGGGGTGCTAGTGCACATCGGTCACGGCAATAGTTATCATTATGCTATTGATGGTAAACCTCTTCCATGCGTTCAAGAACATAAAGACTTTGAAGTAATAATAAGTCATGACCTAAATAGCAACTACGCATTGCAACGCAGCCGCTGTCAAAGGTTTTCGTGCGTTATAGCCACTTCGCCGAGCGTTCAAATCTTTCGACGAGGAAATGCTTCGAATTTTAAATCCCACCTATTTAAGATTACATTCAGAGTACTGTATCCAAGAAGCTAGCGCATGTCTGTTAGAGGATATTAACTCACTTGAGCGTGTTCAGTATGTGGGAACGAAATCAGTGAAGGGTCTTTTTAAACTCCCTTACAATAGGCGTTTATAACGCCTAAACCTTTTCCCCTTGTCGTATCGTAGGACTCGAGGTGACCTTATACTGGCATTTCGTATCTTTAATTGTGATTTGGGTGTTAATATATCTTATCTTTTTGCTCCCTCCAGCACTAATAATCTCCGAAGTCATAGCAAAAAGGTTCATAAACCGCGATCTAATAAACGTAATGTAGGGTTCCGTTTTTCTCATCGAGTAGTCAATGATTGGAACGCCTTGCCCGAAGAAGTGGTATCAGCCCCATCAGTAAATATTTTCAAGGAGAGGCTGGACCTTCACTGGAAGGTAATCTGTTAGGATTAACACAGGTTCACCAACCTACTATCCTTATTGCTGAAGACTGAATTGATTTCGAGGAATGGGAACAGATAACTGATCTCTAAACAGATGTAACCACTAACGTGATGAGAGTTTGAAGGATGTTGAGCCTTATGCTTTTTTGCTTAGTGATAACATCTTATTTCATCGGAATAAATCCGCAAGCATCCTGGTCATACCCGAGTATAAGGTATTTACTTCAAGTAATTTCTTCGAATACTCCTACTAACCAGTAACAAAGTTTTTATTTTTCACTGTTCCTGAGGAACCAGGAAGTAATTATACCTTTCCACATATAGGCGATGTCTCTTCAGATATTTTACAGAAATACTAATTCATTTTCGCCCTTAAATTTCCTAAAAATGGTTGAATTTAAATCATTGCTTCAAATTCGACTGCCTACAAACGATGTATCGTTTTTAATTTCAGAGTCACTCAGTCTACATAACATGAAATTCCACCTATTGTCTGACCATATATATCCGTGATTTCCAAAACCGAGTAACCTGGAGACACCAATTAACATTCTCACCTTCCTCGTTCTTTGGATATGTTTTTTTATATTTTTCCTATTGTTTATTATTGTGATCTTCCGTTTCCCCTTTTTGAGTACGAAACTTAGGACA